GATATATTTGACAGAGGAGAGGCACTTTGGATTGAACTGTGGATTGCCCTTTGCACTGAGTTACATCCCCAGACTTTTTTATTTTTTTATTTTGAGAAAGGGCCTGGCTAAGTCACTGAGTTGCCCAGGTTGGGCTTGAACTTAAAATTCTCTTGCCTCAACTGATTATAGGCAAGCACCATCACACACAGCTTGAAGTTATATTCATTTATTTATGTATTTATTGTATCGGGAATGAAACACCAGTCTTGTGCTTGCCAGGCAGGCACTGTACCGCTGAGCTACATTCCCAGCAAAGTTACATTCTGTATGACTGTCCTTTTAGTGGTTACCCAGCATTTTAATTTACATTAGTGCTAAAAGTTGTTTTTGCTCTTCCCATTCTCTCCTTTGGGATTCATAATGAAATTTCACTGTCTTCCATTTCACTTTAACCTCTCATTTTTTGCCATCCCTGTCATTCTTTATAAAATCTCCTTAGCTGTTTTCTATTTTACTGATTTTCTCTTTAGCTGTGAATATTCTATCTCATCTATCTACTGAATTTTTTTTCTGAATTTTTTATTTTAATCACTGCATTTTTCTTTAAAGTATTGGGTTTTTTGTCTTTGTTTTTTAATATCTGCTTGGTCATTCTTTGTTGTCTCTTAGTCCCTGCTGATCTTTCTAAAACTTATGTTTTATTTCTTTAAATACAAGAATAGCAGTGCTGGGCTGGGGATTTAGCTGAGTGGTGCTGCCGCCTGCCTCACAAGCGCAAGGTCCCAGATTCGATACCCAGTACCAAAGAAAAAAAGAATAGCAGTGCATGGTGGCACACGCCTGTAATCCCAGCACTCTGGAGGCTGAGGCAGAAAGATTGCCACAAGTTTGAGGCCAGCCTCAGCTACACAGAGAGTTCAAGATGACCTTGAAATACATAGACCTTGTCTCAAAAAAAATTATATATATATATGAATAAACATAAGGTTATTTTATATCTATTTCAATATGTGAAGCCTTGTTGCGTTTCTTTTATCATTTATTGTTCCTGATTCTCATAGTTGTTTCTCAGTGTGTTTTGTGATTTTTAACAGTTCATTTTCCTTACATCTTTATCCATGAGGATTCTTTGCGGCCTGGATTGAATTTAAGTTCCTCCAGAAAAAATTAGAGTTTACCTTTGCTGGCAGGCTAGGGCAGACCAACCTGCAATCTTCAAGCTCTTCATTTGGCACTTTTCAGATCGTACAGTCTCATGAAATTAGGCCACAAACCTGCAAGTCTTAGTTGTGAACTCTAGAGAGAGCTTTTCATTCCCTTTTTACACCAAGGTCAAGATTGGCATATTTTGTTCAGTCTTTCTGCATGGCAAGTTATTCTTTTTCTTTATGCCATATATCCAGTTTTAGTTAGGATCTGCTAGAATTAGGTCAAACCATATGAGAATGCCTATAAAATCCAGCAGTGTCCCAGCAATGTCCCAAAGTTCTGGCCCACAAACATGGCAGATTTGTTGTAGGTTGTGTACCCTGAGTGCATCCTGGGCTTTCCCCCCTGTCTCCAGCTCCCCTAGATAGTGGTGAAATCTGAATCAGAGGCCTCTGGGAGTTTTGTAGAAACCTTCAAGGCCAAAGCATCTGTGCTCACAGTGGCTCCCAAGATCCAAGGCTCCTGTTTCTGTTGATTTAGAATCAGTCTGCTAAGCTCTTTCAGGCCAGCCCTGCAGATTTTTTTTTTTAATAGATTTTGTATTTCCCTCAGCATTTTGTTTTAATTAAGAGGTTCTCTCAGGGTCTTTCTCTATCCTAGGGTTGCTCCACATCTCTGAACTCATTTCTGTTGATATAACTGAGGCCTTGGCATTGTACTTGTTTTATGAGTTCAAACAGACTTCCACTTAAACCCAGAGACTCCAGAATTCAGGTGTCTCTCAGATGTCTTACAGTTCCATCCTTTGATCCAGAATCCCACTTCAAATGGAAATTTTATTTTACTTTATATTTAAATTGTTTGAGGTTGCCACCTGCCAATCCTTTTAAGATCAGAGTTTGACACAAAATTGTTCAGTGGGTGGGTGTATTACTGTTGTTTTAAAGATCCCCATTATTAGCTGTGCAGTTCTCCCCCAAGAGTTCCTTACACCACTTGGATTCCACATGGGAGAGCAAAGCTTCTGTAGCAAAAAGACATTGTCAAGACTTCCAGAGGTCAAAGAAAGTAGTGGGGACTCGGCCACCAAGGTTCCTGGCACCCGCTTCCTGGTTCCACCACCCAGCCTTGGGGAGGTTCCCTGCAGTATATTATCCGTGAGTGCACCTGTGATCCTTCTCAGGAAGGGATTTAGAGCTTCATCGATTCTGCATAATTAGTGGGGTAAGTAATGGTTTCAAATGAGTGAGTGGGCCTGGGTCCTATGGCTCGAAGGTAGCAGTTCTCATAATTACTACTTTAATTCTAGAACGAGTTTCTGAAATAGATACATTCTCAGGCCTAGAATTTAATTTTATTTTAGTGTAGTGTATTTAGATGGTATTTATGCACACTTGTTAGTAATTATCTCACTCGTGGTTTCTTTGCCAAGAGTAACAGAGATCCTGTTGGTAATAACTTTAGTACTTATGCTGTACACACACGTGTTTGTTTTGATGAATAAATGCCTTCCAGCTATAAGGGAACTTTATGAGTTAAAAGTTTCTCAACATAGATGGCTAAGATTCCATTTAAGCTTTTAAATGCCTTAGAAGCCATTTATTATAAACAAGTAGGAGGGCCAGGGATTTAGCTCAGTGGCACCACACCTGCCTCGAAAGCGCCAGGTCCTGAGTTTGATCTCTGGTACCAAAAAAATAAACAAGTGGGAAAACTAACTCCAAATTACAAGGTTTTCTGCAGATTGCACTTCTCAAGCCAACTCTGACATAAGCAGGACCCCCATTTTGGTCTTGAATTGGGGGCTGCACATGGCCTCAAGCTCACTAGCTCCTGCATCTGCAGAAGCCCAAGGGGGAGCATCTCAAAGCTGATCTCCTCCCAAGAGGCCACCTCAGGCAGTGGGAAAGGCCAGGCTTTGAAGCCGGTAGCCTGGGTGGGACTCCTTACCCTGCCCCTTCTGGTTGCATGGCCTGGGACAACTTACTTCCCCATGCCTCGGTGTTTCCCTTGGCTAAATTGGGGACAGCAATGTCTACATCACTGGTTGCTGTGGGGTGGAATAAGTCAAGACATGGAGAGAGCTGAGGCCCAGACCCATGACAGCTGTGCAGTAAATACTAAGCTTTACTATTTTTAGGTATACAATACCGTTACATTCATCACTGTGCTCTTGTAACTTTACATGATGTATCTTGGTTCTTATTTTTTCCCCATTCCCCTGCCTTCCCTTCACCCCCTCCACCCTTCCCTATTTACAAAGATTTTGTTTCCATTTTTTCCTTTTCTCATATTTTTTAAGCTTTACTATTATTTATTATTCAACTTTCCTGCCACTTAATCCAGGTACTTATAATGAAAAATGTAAAACAAAGTTAAAACAGGAAAAAAACCCTCCATCCCCCTACAATTCCACACTTGATGGAATTCATTTGTAAAAAGCACTGTTAAGAAATTCTGTTCTAAAAAAAAAAAGAAGAGGACTGGGGATTTAGCTCAGTGGTTTCACTACCTGCTGTGCAAGCGCAAAGACCTGAGTTCGATCCCTGGTACCAAAAAAAAAGAAGAAAAAAAGAAATTCTGTTCTACAGAGATCCACAAATAACACAGAGCCAATCAGAAAAGGAATTTCACACGCTAGGTTCAATGAATTAATTACAAAGTAATTGATTTCTTCTTTCAGCATTTTTGGATAGGTGGAATACATGTGAACAGTTCTATGCATGTGTGTCTTCTCAGTTTTATGGTGAATCTAAAACTACTCTTAAAAAAAAAATCCAAACAGGCTGGGGATGTAGCGCAGAGGTTCTGCCCCCTGCCTTGGAGGGGCAAGGCCCTGAGTTCGAACCCCGGTACCAAAAAAAACCAAAACAAAATAATCCAAACACTCTAAAATGCTGACCTTCCAGGCACTGCCCAGGTGAAGTTATCTAGGTTCCTCCTGGTTTTCCTTGCCATTTAGGACTGTGCATCTTCTGTCTTTCCTTTCCTTTCAAACAAATGCTATTGAAACACTGTATTATTTTATATTGTAAACTTCCCCATTAATACATTACAGCATTCTACCTCATTCATTTCATTTCACCACAAATTCTAATTTTTCATACAGATTATTAAAAAACATTGTACCCCCTTTGTTGAAAATAAAGTGTGGGGCTGGGGAATTTAGCTCAGTGGCACCGAGCCTGCCTTGCGAGCGCAAGGTCCTGAGTTCAATCCCCGGTACCAAAAAAAGAAAATAGAGAAGTGTGAAGGAAGGAGTATAATAGGAAAAAAGCGAGTTAGAAACCTGTCGTGATCACAGGACCTATTGGATCCGACAGAACTGAGAGCAACACTTGTGTTTGAATGAGCCACGTTCCCAGCCCTGTCTCCAGCCTCCAGGTGTGCATGTTAGGGGGCTTCTTCACCTCCCACAGAGGGGAATAGTGCAGCCTCTCATTGTGCCAAGTGAGCAGCAGGGGCTGTGTCCCCGAGACCTGGTGTGGGGTGGGGGTGCAGGTACAGCTGTTCACCCCAGTGACAGGCTCCTTAGCTGCTGCCCTGTGTCTGTATACCTGAGGAGGTTTGTCCTGCTTTGAAAATTCTCTGCAGTAGATAATGTTCATAGATCTGGTTAAATTTTTCCTTTTTCTGAAGATAGATAAAAATGCATATACAGTGAAAGGTGCCTTAATTCCCAGTTTCCTCCCCACAGACAGCTTATCAGTTCTGTGTACTTATAAGGATAAAGGTTGGCCCTCTTTTCCTCAGGCACTAATTACATACGTCTACATCTTGGTTGAGGTAAGCTATTAACCTATAGTGAATAATAAGTCTCGAAGATCAGTCTGTTTCATGTACATATTGGTGCCTTACTCTTTTTTAAGGAGACTACAGTATTCCTGTGTATGAATTTGTTACGGGACATCAGTCCAGGTGCTTGCCGCACAACAGGCCAATTCACACCAAGAGACAAGGCGCCGAGGCAAGGAAGGTGACTAGAGAAAAGCCAGCAGGACAAGAAGATGGAGGACTCTTACCCCAAGTCGTCCGTGTCTGTTGGGAAGCTGGCTGAGGAGTGATTTATATCAGCAGGCGATGGGTGTTCCCAGACCGGTGGGCACCTTCACACAGCAGGTGGGCCAGAGAAGCGATCTGAGGCTAATCGCCTAGTCATGAGATGCTTTTCAGTTCTGCAGATGTCAGGGAAAAGATTATGACGGGCTATTCTTTCCATGTACGGCATACAGACCATCACCAAACTTTTCACAATGAAAGAGAACGTACTTCACCTGACGTGGAGATCAGGTGAGGCTTAAACAGGGAGTCGGTGTGAGATTTGAACTTAGTACTTGGCTTCAGTTTTACCCTAATGTAGTTAACCAGCCCTATGCAAGTTAACTTGTAGGTTATTTGTCCTTGTTTGCTTTTACAGTGGACCCTCAATTTACAACTGGCCTGACATAGTAACAACTTGGGTTAATTAGGTTCATGGAAGATTCATCTGCCTTTTGAGACAGTATAGCTGTATAATTACAGCAATAAATGATATCCTGTACTCACGATAGATGTGAAGATTTGTTTTTTGTTTTTTTTGAGACAAGGTCTTGCTATGTAGTCTAGGCTGAACTCCTGCCTCAGCCTCCAACTTCTGGGATTACAGATGTGTACCACCACTCCTGGCTCTTTAAAGTGATTCTTAAAACTATGAAACCTTTGTTCACACCCAATACTCAGTAAATACTCAAATTCCCCAAGTACCTGCACTGTGACTGGTTGATATGTCCTTGCATTCATTTTTTTTTTTTTAAGAGTAGAAAAATTTATTGGGATATAGGAAATGGGGACCTGAACTCTTCATTCTGTAGGTCCTCCCTCCTTTTTCACCTGTGTTTAATCCATCCTGGATGTAGCAAAAATCGCCCCCTATAAAAAAGTACATTTTCTTTCAGTCAATAAAGCTTTAGATGTGGTCAGATGTAGGTTCCGTGCTGGGGACAATATATATATATATATATTTTTGGTACTGGGGATCGAACTCAGGACCTTGGGATTGCAAGGCAGGTGGTGGAACCACTGAGCTAAATCCCCAGCCCTGGGGACAATATTTATAAGCCTACTTGGTTGTCTTTGTGTGTGAGGCCAGCAGCCACTGATCCCTCTGGCACATGGAGGACTGCCAAATATCCAAACTTTTATTCCTTCATCCCATTGTCCTATCATTCCAACCTCCTGTCTCCATTTCTTAACTATAATACAATGATGGTGAACCTTTCAGAGCTTCGGCACTCGTGCCAAAAGTTCGCCACAATTGGCTAGAATAGCCCTGTACAGAGAAAATTCCTTCATCTGCTGTTTGATTATACCAGATTGATTATAACATGTACAGGAGTCAAAATAAATGTTTGATTCTCCCCTCACTTACCAGTTTCCAAAATAATTGGGTTGGTTCCTTAGCATCCTCTGAAAGGTGGCCAGTGGGGTAGATTTTGTTTGATTTTTTTACCTGTTTGAGTTCCCTTGTGAACTTGTGGGTTTCAGTGTATCTGAAATGTTCAGTGACAACTCGCCCTCTGTTGATGTTCGCAGTCACCATCCTCAGCCAGTCGGAGCCTCCAGGCTGCCCCTGTGCTCTGGGCTCTTCGCCCAGCCTTCTGCTGTGACCCTGGGATCTCAGTCCTGACCTATGCTCTGTGGAGAGGTTCTGGGTCCTTGTGAGCCTCGACTATTCCCCAGAGGGCCAGCAAGGTCCCTTTCAGTGGGAAGTGGCTTTTAGTCTTGGGTATCAGGAGTGAGTGCTCATTGCCAGAATTCTCTATTTCTAGGCCTTTTCAGAGAACAAGGCCATATATATTTTTAAAAGAAAAAATTTAAACACGGATATCTTTCATTCAAAATTTAAGACTGCACAGTTTACCTGTTTGATTTTATACTTGGAGCTCTTATAGTGAATAATCTTCGTCCTAGCAATATTAACATAATAATTGTTTGCTTCATCCTATATTATGTATTATAGTTACAGAGGAACAGTATGAATATTATTAACAATGTGATTACAAAAATCTCTCTTATTTTTTGGCAGTTCTTTTTGTCCTTAGAGTGCCTTTTATCCTACTGGAATGTACAAATTACTGTTTTAAAGTCACCTGAAATAATTCCTGTCAGTGGGATTATGCCAAAACATTGAGTCGCATTTGTTTCATCTTGCTTTTTAAATTCATACTTATTTAAATTTGCTTTTATACTTAAGTGTAAAACATTTACCTGGTTCCAAAGTCAAATACCTACAGCAGGGCCTATTCAGAGGAGTCTGGTTTTTCCTGCCCTCTCTACCCTGATCTTCACCTTGTTTGTCCCTAAGTGTATGTGTGACTGACTGAACCAGGCCTGCTTTGCCCACTGTGAAATCATGAAACAATCACTGTGCCAATCACTGAAACAGCAAATTTTGCAAAAAGAGAACTTATTCACATCCTTGCAGGTATTTATGAGGTAAAGAAGTGAGGTGATATAAGACATGGGGAAAGGAGGGTAGAGATCAGTCAGTCAGTCTTTGTGGCTCTTCCTGGGATGCATGTTCAGACAATGGCAGCATCTGCATGAACTGAGGGCAGTTGTTGGCTTCCTGAAGGCCCAGCCAAAGAGGTGATGCTACCAGGCATTCGATGCACTTGGGGCAGGAGCATCGTGGCTCCAAGGCAAGCTTGGTGAGACCCTGTTTCAAAATTTAAAAAATTTTAAAAGAGAGGTAGCTCAGTGGTAGAGGACTTGCCTAATATGCAGGAGGCCCTGGGTTCATTTCCAGCACTGTATTTAAAAAAACAGTTCGTAGTTATGACAAAAATGGCCTTGGAGTCCCTGAAAAGTAACCTAGGCAACCATTGTCATCCTGAACCACATGTCACAGGTGCTATCACCAGCAGAGCCATTGGGGGACTCAATACACAGTTCAGCTATGTGACCTCCAGAATTCGTGAGTTTTGGTAAAGTTACAGCAAGTGACTAGAAGCAAGCGAAGCTTGAGGGTTCGTTCGGGCTTCCCTTGCTTCCATGTGTCCGGGATAGAAATAAATACACACACATGTGTCCTTCCACCACGTCTCTGGGAGACCTGAGATGCAGCAGACACCTTACTGCACCCTGCATTTGTCCCTAGTGGTCCATCTTGGAGGGGTTCTGTGGGGGGGAGGGCTCCTCTCACCCCTTTCCAGCCTCATGGGCCTCCAGGGTGAGGACAGACAGAGCATGGTTTATTCAGTTTCCACTGGTGGACCTGGGTCTGTTTCTGTGCTGTCCTGAGCATGTGGTGAACTTGCATGTGCCTCATCCTGTTACTGGCCCAATGTCTTTGGGAGAGGCTCATAGAAGAGATGCTGTTGAGGCAAATGTATATGCATTGTTCTTACTAGATCTACTATTTTTTTTTTTGAGACAGGGTCTTCCCAGAGTGTGTGTCACCACACCTGGCCGATTTTCTTTATTACTTGCTGCCCCTTTCCACCAACAGTGTGTGAGAGGAGGCCTACCCACCTGCAGTGGTCTCAGATGAACCCAACCTGGTCCAGTTAGCAGACACATTTGCCACAGGTGGACCCAGGCCACACACACCGGCCCAGAGAGGGCAGGAAAGGGGCTGTGCTGACTTAGAAACTAGGGCCACTTCAGTGGCAGTGTTTCCTGAGTCTTCCATTTCCCCTGTGTTCTTCTGTTTGGTTGCTTTGTGTGTGTGTTTGTATGCGTGTGTGTGTGTGTGTGTGTTTAGTGTAAGTGGGTCTTTCAGTGATGTAAGTGTTCTCTGATTTCACGGCAACACTCCCCAGTCCCCTGCCACAGCCTGCGTGGCTGAAGGGTTCACAGAGTGAGAAATGGGGGTGAGAGATTTAAAAAAGACAGACAAAGAGATATAATAAGGTACAGGTGGGGCCAGTTAGGGCTCTAACTCCTGATGGGAGGAAAAGACCACCAAGCAAATGGCCACAGGCATATTTATAGTGGTGGAAGTGCAGGGGGAGGCAAAAGGGACTGGTCTATAACGGGAGCTGAGGTCTGCAGAACATCATGTTTGATGTTTCTCTGGTGAATGAGCAGGAGGAGGACAGTCCTCTTCTCGGCCAGGCCTTGCTCCACCAATCCCTCTTGTCACCCGTTCTCCTCCCTCGGGCCCCTGCCTCGTCCATGGGAGGAGTCGAGTTAGGCCTGGCCACAGTGATCTACAGCGCAGTGCCCTCAGCAAGTCCCATCCTTGAAGTGGCTGCTGTGTCCTCCATGGACATAGAGGTTCCAGAGCAGATTCTTTACCCTTCTTTAGCATTATTTTTTGGGGGTGGGGGCACTTTTTTATTCTACTGGCATTTTGTTTTAACTCATCTTCCGTCTCTTTTGTTACTTGTTTCATTAGTTAGCATCAGACATAAAATCATGGGTTGTTTCTTGGGTGAGGCCAGCCCTGAAATTGGCTCACCTGCGTTGCTTTCCCACACACACCAGTGGCTAGCCGTGATCCCAGGGACACACACTGCACCTTGGGACTCTGGGACAGAGCCCTGCTGAGCTCTGCAGGAAGTCATGCGGATCACTCGGAGCATCTGTACCACTAGCTTTACTGGCCCTGAATTTACCTGGCCCATCTCATCCCTGTTTAAGACTCTACAGCATTATTTCTGAGAGATGGACGCTGGAAGTGACTGGAGAATGACAGTCTCCCCTTAGGTGGTCTGGGTGAAGAGGTCCATGGGGATGTGCAGGGCAGAGCGGCCCAGAGCTCCTCATGAGGTGTGCTTTGGTGTGCACCTGGCTCAAACTGTGCTGTTACCCACACTTTGGACATTCATCATCCAAGCTGCCCACTGTGACCTGACTTGCACCCCCCCCCCACTTTCTCCCTTTGTATAGGATTGAATGTCTGCAGGATTAGCCTCAAGTGCCCCATGGCACAGTTGGGTTTAGTGTGGCAGCCTAGCCCAGGCCACATGGCACAAGGTATTCCCCTGGCCAGAGTGTACAGGGTTCAATCACCATGTCATTCAAGCACCAGCATCTCAGCCTTCCTCCAGAAAAGCCTTCCCAACCCAGCTCCAGCTGCAGCAGCCTGGGTGCAGCTGCACGGGAGATCATTTCAGTGTATGCCTCCCTCCCCCTCCCCCTTCTCAGCAGCCAGAATTAGCACCCACACTGAGGAGTGCCCTGTGCCTCCCCTGAGTGCCTCCTGGCACTTGCTTTTGTAATCCCCGCCGGGCCGGGGCAGCCTGACCACAGCTGACAGTGGGGAGTGAGAAGACAGCAGCGGCCTGCAGTTGGGGACAGAAGAAATGGTGTGGGCAGCGTGGCTCAAGAAATGACATTGCTGGCCGGAGCCCTGAAAAAGACCCAGCAAAGACTAATCAGGCCTAGGGCCTGTCAGGTGCAGAGCCCAGGGCCCATCCTGACGTTGGCTCCCAGCCCACCTCTGGCCTCACTATGTGCCAGGTGCCATGCCACGTAGAGCCCTGTCCCTGAGGTAGCTCATCCATCTTCTCGGCCCCAAGAAGCCGCCTGATCCCTGTTTTACAGAGCCTTTATGGTGAGGTACATCCCCAGCCCTTTTTAAAATTTTGAGACAGGATTTTCCCAAGTTGCCTGGGCTGGGCTTGAACGTGTGATCCTCCTGCCTTAGCCTCCCAGAGTGCTAGGATTCTAGGATTGCAGGCATGCACCACCACACCCAGCTCAAGTGATGCTGTCTGTCTCTCCTTTTCTGTCTCTCTCTCTTTTTTTTTTTTTTTTGGTGTGCTAGGTATTGAACCAGGGCCTCTTCCATGCTAGTCAACTCTACTATAGAACTACATCCCCAGCCCTCAAGTGATATATTTTTAAAATAAAAGTAAATATGCTCTCCTCACATATATGGTAGTATGTACTCAATAAGTATTTGTCAAATACATGAGCATTTTACTGCAGTTGCAAAGGCAGACACCCCATTCGCACTTTTTCCTTCTTCTTTTGGGTGGGGTGGACAGGATCTTGCTACGTAGGTCAGGCTGGCCTTGAACTCCAAAAGATCCTCCTACCTCAGCCCCCTGAGTGGTGGGATGACAGGCATAGGCCACCACGCCCAGCCTTAAATTTAATTGTAAATTACCCAGGTTGGCCTAAAATTTGAGTGGCTGGGATTACAGCTGTTCACCACCACAGGTGCGAGCAACTTTCTTCATTCAGGGCATGAATGTGGCCCTGGTGGCTCCTCTGCGCCTGGCCCTGGGAGGGAGGGCTCAGTCTGGCGGAGAGCCAGCACGGATGGGTGGGGGAGGGGCAGTCGCAGGGGCAGGGACCCTGAGAAGGAGCAGCTGGCCTCCTGAGGGACCGAGTAGGGGAGGCAGCCCTGGTGAGGAGCCCTGTGCTAGGAGGGACACACTGGGTGCTGGGGAGCAGCATCCCTCTGTGGCCACGGTCAGGATTCCCCACCTAGGAACAAGCGGAAGCCAGTGAAGGACCCTGAGCTTCACAACTCAAGAAAAATTCCTTTATTCTTAACTTAGTGGTGAGGACATGGGGTTTTTTTTAATGATAGTCCGAGATACGTTTTAATAAAGAGAGGCTGCCTTGCCTAAGACCTCACAGCAAGAGACTTATTTTAAAAACACTCTCACCCAGGCATGGTGATTACATTAATGTAATCTCAGCTACTTGAGAAGCTGAGGCAGAAGGATTACAAGGCCAGCCAGTGCAGCTGAGCAATTTAAAGAGACTCTGTCTCAAAATAAAAACTAGATAGGACTAGGACACAGCTCAGTGGTAGAGCACTGTCCTAGCATGCATCAGGCCCTGGCTTTGACCCCAGCACTGCAAAATCAAGCATTCAGCTTTGAGTCAGGGAAGGAGCCCCAAGGAAAGCAAGAGGAGAAGCAGTGGCACGGACAAGATGACATGGTTCCTATGACGTGGAGGTAAGGACAGAGGCTGGACTCCAGCATGTCAGGAGGGCACTGTGGGGCCTGCTGAGCCAAAGGTGAGGGGGACGGAACCCTTGTCCAGAGGTCATATGGTACAGTTAGGCTTGGGGCTTCTAAGGTAGAACATAGGACAGGCAGAACTGGCTTCTGGTTCATCTGTGCCCTGCACAAGCGAGAGCTGCCCTGAGCCTCCCTTCTCTCCTAAAGGGAGACACTGAGGTGGCGCGACCAAGGGAGGCAGGCTGCCTGGGCATCCCTCAGCACACAGCCCAGCATGCTGCCAACAGCGGTGGGTGTCTTGAGATGGCCTGGAGTGCTACAGGGAAACAGAGTCCCGGGACTCCACCAGAGATGCTGGCTTGGCTGCCGGGCCCAGGAATGTGCATTTTCATGGAGTTCAACATCAAGTGCTCCAGGGCCCACAGCTTTTATAAACCATGTACATACCCCCTGCCCTGTGTGGTGATGAAACAGGCCTGACATCTCTGCCTCTCAGTCAGCACTCTTCAAGGTGAAAGTGCAGAAACACCATCAAACCACCTGTACCAGAGAAGGATCCCATGGCTTAACAACTACTGTGCCAGGGTAGCTCGGGATCAGCAGGGTGCAGGCCTCGTGAGGTTCTAGGGACATGGCCTCTGCTCTTCTCCTAGCTGGCCTACCCCCCCCACACACCAGGCTTCGCCTGTGAGGCTGTGCATCTGTGCCCACAGTGGTCCTGGCACGAGGAGTCCCTGGCCAAGCTTGGCAGCCAGAGTGCTGCTGGCCTGGTTCAGCCAGTCTCACACCACTGGGACTGAACTCGGGACAGTCGATGTCTCCAGAAGGGGGAGCAGATCACCATCAGGGAAAACAAAGGACAGCCACCACTCTGTCTAAAACAAACTCTGCTTAGAAATAGCCTCAAGTGTCACAGGAAGTGCAGATAGCCTGGCTGTGATCAGAGTGCTGTGTGAGATGAAACCCCAAGAGACGCTCTCTTGACAAGATACTCCTTCTTCCAGAGCTTGCTGTCCTTCAGATGTCCTTCTTTCCCCCTTTTGCTAATTCAGGAGACCCAGCTTAAGTGCCACCTCCCCCAGGGAGCTGCTTCTTCCTGCTCTCCAGTGACCTGCACAGTTCCAGCAGAGTGAGTTCAAGTCCTACCCCACTGCTTCGTGGCCAGAGGACTTCACCTCTCTGAGCCTTGTTTTTCCTGTCTGAACAAGTGGCAGCTCCCTAGAGGTCTCTTCTCCACTTCCACAGCATAGACTTTGCCCCTGCACCCCTGAATAAGGCCATAGTTCTGCCTTCCCTTGAGCTGTGCATCCCTGGGACTGACTGTGGCCCATGGGATGAAAGTGGAAGTGGCAATATGTGAGGCTGATCTGGGACCCTCCTTGCAGAGATGCTGGCACACAGATTGCCCCTTGTTCATCCCCCGCTCCCCAGTCCTCCCACCTGAAATGCAGATGCTGCATTTCATCTTGGTCCAAGAGGACAGTGGCCCTGGAAAGGCAGAGGGGTGAGCTGGAGGGAGCTTCGTGCCCCAGCCTGTGGCATGAGGATACCGGTGGCTTGGTGAAGCCTCAGACAGTGGGAATTCGGCAGTGGGCTCGCTGCATCCTGTTCATCAGAGCACCTGCCCACAGGGCCGTGAGGACCCAAGGAGACAGGGATGTGCCAACCTCACTGCCCAGCGAGAGGAGAGGTGTCCCCTTTCTCCTCGTGCTCTTGTCCCCATCCAGGTCATCCTCCTGCCATCAAGATAGCTGTGCCCAGGGCCAGGGATTTAGCTCAGTGGTTCCGTCGCTTGCCTTACAAGCGCAAGGACCCGAGTTCGATCCCTGGTACGAGGAAAAAAAAAAAAAGATAGCTGTGCCCAGCCCCGCCACCACACAGGGCCACAGTCCTGACTGCAGAGACCTGACCTCACTCCCTCTCGTGGCCTGGGTTCCTTGGGTACAAATGGAAGACGCTAGCTCACACTGACAGCAGCAAAGATTTGCTGGATGGCCCGTGGTCCCCGCAGGGTGAGGGGGCCTGGAGACTCTCACACACCACCTGCAGCATCTAACGCTGAGTCCCGGGTCCCAGCCCTGAGCATCCCACCTCTTGGCTGGAAAAGGGGACACCCTGAGGAACAACACTGGTGGATAGGACCCAGCAAGAGTAAGTGGGTTCTCCCAGAGAGGAACCAAAGTGGCCGCTGAGCCAAAGCCAACGCAGGTGCACGTGTCACTGCAGCGGGGTGTCCTGGGCCAGCTGCAGGGGAGCAGATCCTTACCAAAACCCCAGGCAGCAAGGTGGCAGCCCAGGGAGTAGAGGAGGCTCAGCCCTCTCCTCCTTTAGCTCTCCTTCCTTGGCAGGAGCACACCCCTTGTGGCTTTGTCCAGTGTCCCTGCCCAACGTCCCAGTTGGGTTTAGGCCGCTCACCTGGCCAGAAGGTGGGAGTCACCCCTGGGTCCAACCAGCTGGGGCCAGAGCCCGCTGTGATTTTTTTCCCAAGTGACCAGCAGGGGGGACAAGTCACTACGGCTGACTCCAGGGCGTCGGCCTCTGCGCAGTGTGAAGGCCCAGCCACCCCAGCAGGCAGCAGGACAGGGACTTGGCCAGAGCATCAGCACCCCACCTGCGTCTGCCTTGGGTGCCCCCTTCTGCTTGAATCCCTTTCTCTTGGCTCACGACCCCCCAGAAGCCCACCCTGGTTTTCCTGCCACCTCTGCCACTGTTTCCTTTGTAGCTGCTTCCTCACCTGTTCCACTTGCACATTCTTGCCCTGTGCGTGAACTGCAGCCCCTTCACTGGTCTCTGCCCTCCTGTCTCCCCCACTGAAGATGTTTCAGTAATCCTGGCCTCCTTTAGCCTCTTTCCAGGACCAGCTCTTTCCCACCTCAGGCCCTTTACCTGTGCTCTTCCCTCTGCTCGGAGGTCGGTCCCTCTTTTCATGGTCAGCTCACCCACATCTTTCCGCATCTGCATGCTGGCTCCCTAGAGGCCTTCCCTGGCCCTGTGCCTCTATGCCCTCCTCTGTTACTATCTGCCTTAACCCCTGCTTATTTCTTGTATAATACTTTCAGTTTTGTAATTTGATCTTCATATGCCTCCCTGTAGACAGGAGGTGTGCTGAGGGCAGATGATACCTCTGCATTCTCAGGGCCTGACACATAGTTGACACTCAAAAACAACTTGCTGAATTAACGACACATCACTCAGCTAGAATGGGAAGGGATGGAGGCGGGACTGAGACCAAGTCCTATGTTCTTTCTACTCTTCCATACAATTCTGAACAATGAAACGAAGAGGGGGGTCAGAGTCATGCCTGTGTGCGCGCGCGCGCGTGTGTGTGTGTGTGTGTGTGTGTAGTCATACTAGGCAAGTGCTCCCCTGCTGAGCCACATCCCCAGCCCTGGCCATGCCCTCTAGTGTAGCTCTATCATCACACACAGATATGGTATGGGGCTGTCACTGCTGTAGATGAATCATATGTGCTGCAAAGTCTCTGCTGGGCCCAGGCAGAAGATGTAACTCTGGGAAATGCAGAGTGCCTCTTGCTCCCAGGCTGAAATTCACTTCTTTCCCCTCCTGACTTCTCACATTCCCTTAGATCCAGGCCTGGCTTGTGACCTAGGAAGGGAAGTGGCCAGCTGAAAACACTGCCCTGGAGAAACCAAAGCCACCACTGCCACGAAGGCAGCCCTCTTTCCTCCCATGGCCTGGCCTGGCCCCAGCTGTTCGTGGGCGTAAGCAGGCACAGACACCCAGGAATGGGTTAAGAACCCTCTGGAAATGCTCCATACACATCAGAAGACAGGGCACCCACATGCTTGTGTGAGGATGACTGACACACTCAGGCAAGACCGGCTCAGAGCTGGGTGACAAAGGAGAAGGTGAGGCGGGCTGGGGGCGGGGCCTCCCTTGTGCAAGAGAACGGCAGGGGCCTTGCCTAAGCCAGAACAAGGGTCCTCTAAAGCAGCTCGGAATCTCTCCGGGGCCTGGGCCTCTGACAGCTGTGAAGCCTCTTGGGCTCTTCTCAGAGTAACGTTTTCCAGTGCAGTATATTCCAAACCCCAGGTTATCGTGAAATGGTTTTTAATTACTTTTAAAACTGCAGCAAACACAAGTTCCTTCTTAATACTATAAGAACTAATGTGGTTCTCCCGCCTGCCTCGCAAGTGCAAGGACCTGAGTTAGATCCCTGGTACCAAAAAAAGAACTAATGTGACTCATGCACATTATATTTTGAATTCTCTACAGTATTTTGATTATAAAATATAATTTCAATTGATAACAAAGTGTTGATATTGCTCATGCAACTCTGATTTGTTACCTATATTCTTAATGGAAGAAAATGCTAATTTTCCATTGCAGATAAATAAAAATATAGATGTAATTGTCTTCTCACCCAGGTTTGTGACCTCCTGGATTCTTTCTGGGGACTGCAGGTTACTCTGCCCTAAGGACTGTTTCACTTCACCAACCTCAGTGGGATCCCTGCAAGGACAGAGGTCACTCCTTCATCTTTTTTATTTTTATTTTTTGAGGCAGGTCTCTCTATGTAGGTTCAGAACTCACTACGTAGCCCAGGCTGGCCTCGAACTCGAAGCAATCCTCCTGCCTCAGCCTCCCAAGTGCTGGGATTACAAGCATGTGCCACCACGCCTGGCTCATCTTCTATGAAGTATGCAGAGAGGGCCACACAGAGGCCCACCACTGGTCTGTTGTGTCTCATGGAGTTTCTTGGTAGATTACAATGATATCTTCTCTCTTCAGTCTTTGCACTTACTTCTTTTCCTGGCTTAATGCATTGGCTGGGATCTTCAGTACAGTGTTGAATAGGAGCAATGATAGCAGGTACCTCTCTCTTACTAAGCTCAAAACTCATCTACTAATTTATGTGATAAGAATGTAAAGCATCCACAGTGTGGCAATCTTTATGCCCTGTGTTGGGCATAAAGATAAACACAGATGACAAGACAGCAGAAGGATGTCAATGAAGGTGGCAATGCTGACATTGTGGATTCTGCAGAGGTGCTGAGCCTCTCCCTCGGGGTCCTGTTGCCCACAAAGTATGAAAGTAGACCCATGCTGGGCACCCCAGGCCCCAGGGCACAGGTCAGGGTGGGGCAAGAGGCAGGCAGGCAGGTGGGTAGAACCCACAAGTAAAGCCTCCAGCAGGGCATCAGCCAGAGCGTGGGGCCCAGGCCTGGCCTGGTGAGGACCCGTCTGTGCTGAGCTTATAGCTGCCAGCAGGAGCAGTTGTTAACATCAACCAGAATGGGGGCAGCCCCAAGGTGGGCAGTTGGAGGAGGGGATGCCTGGGCCCTCTCCTCTTCCCTCCCCCACCGTAGGCTGTTACCCTGGAGTAGGAGCTGGGGGCACTGCCCTCGTCCTCTCTTTTCTATCCAGCTGGTCCACGGGGAAGAGGAGAGCTTTTAGTAAAATACAAGGAGGTAGAAGTTTAGAATGGACCAGATTACACTTTAGGGCCTGGAATAGGACTGTGAGAATAACCAAATGTGGATAAGTCAAGAGATCAGACCAAAATTGTTTTAATAAAGAGTGCTTCCCAGCAAGAGTGGGAAGAGGGAGACAAGAAAAGCCAAGGGGAACAATACCCTCTGCGGGGTGGCTAATGCCCCCACAAGACAACCACACCCTAGTCCCCTGGAAGCAGCGAGTGTGTTGCCTGCCCTTGTGATTCCACTCTTTGGAGCGGAAGGGACCCTGGGCCATGCAGGTGAGTCCAGTTTTGGCAAGGCTGGGGCTCTCTGATGTGCCAAATCAGTGAGCTCGGGAGGGTTTGCAGCTGAGGTCACTTGAGTTGCCCCTTGGCCTGTGTTTCTGTTGGCGCTGAGCAAGCCATAGATAGAATTTCTTTGGGGAGGGACAAACTTCACACACCACAGCTGGAAATCAGCCAGGCAGGGCTCACTGGGGCTGTGAGGGACCTGAGTAAACCAACTCTATGAAGTAAGCCTCGTCTTCCACACCCTGCCCCATTTCTTAGTGACCTTGCAGAGTTTACTACCGCGGCCCAGAGAGCCATCTGTCCTGTTATTCCCTCGCCAATCATTGTCTAAAATGTATAAAAGCATCAGGCTGTGGTCATTTCTTTAGACTACACTCGCCTAGGAAGGTCCCGTGTGTGTAAAATTAACAAAACCTGACGCTTTTCTCTCTTATTAATTGGCTCCGTGGATCCAGCCAAAGCGCCCCCAGAAGAGCTGGGAAGATATCCTTCCCCCAACTAGCCCCAGGGGCCTTAGAAGAGGGGAGGAGGAGGCGCAGCGAGAGGGAGCAGATGTGGGACCTGCTCGAGCTGGGGGGACACCAGAAGCGCTGGCCCCGGGCCTGCAGGATGCCGGCAGCCTGCCAGGGCCACGTCAAAGTTCAGGGCTCCCCAGGTCCCACATCTGCGAGCGTGTCTGTGCCAGTGAGCTAGAGCGGTCGGGACCCCACAAAAGCAGAGCGGAGAGGGGTGTGGGAGACGGCGGCTGCCCTCGGGGGCTGAGGATCAGTGGCCCGCGAAGACGGAGGCCAACAGAACTGACCGTGCCGTGGGCCCGGGCCAGCCCCTCCGGGGGAGCCGGGGCGGCGTTTCCAGGCTGCCCACCCCTTAGGAGGCCGTGCCCAGCCCGCGCCCCGGCACGGCAGACCCTGCGGGGCCCTGGGGCCGCCCGCGCTGGAGGTCTCGCCCCGGCCGGCCGCCCGGAGGAAGGAAGTGCTCCCCTCCTCCCTCCCTTCCCTGGGTCCGGACCGATTCTCGGGATTCGCGATCGCTCCCGCGAGCAGACCTTCGTCCACCCGCGGGCGGGCCGGGGCCGGGCCTGCAGGGGGCGGGGCCCGAGGGCGGAGCGAGGCCGGGCGCGGCTGGGGCCCCGGGCCCACCCGTCGCCGCAGTGGCCGGGCCGGCGGGCGCAGGGTAAGTGCCGGGCCTAGCCTGCCCCTCCGAGGAGAGGGGTCCCCTCGCACCCAGCGCTCCGGTCCTCGAGCGAGCGGGGCTCCAGGGGGACCCGCCCCGTCGCCCTAGGTGCTCGAGTTTCCCGGCGCGGCGGCTGTGGCGCCCTGGACCCTTCCCCTTCCCCGGGGCCGGGTGGGGTCGAGGTGCGGGGAGCTCCACAAGCCGCCGCGTGCTCACCCGATCCGGGCGCCTCTGCTTCCTCCGCGCCGCCCGGTGAAGCAGCAACAGGTGAAGCCGGTGCCGTCCTTCCCTCCCTATTCAGGTGAAGACAGCAGGACTCGCAGAGACCGAGCCGCTGGCCTTGGTGACACAGCCAGAGCGGGCAGAGCCAGGACGCACAGCCAGCCAGGTACGTGAAGCCCGAGTCCCTCGTTCCTCATCCCACCTCCCCCTACTGCCTCACAGGGCAACCGTGGTAAAGGAGACCGGGAACAGGTAGTGCTGGGTACCCTAGGAGGAGGCTGAGAAGTGGGAGCGCCAGGGCAGCAAAGGCCTCACCTGGAAATACGTGAAGCACCCACTTCTTCGGGTGACTAGAGGACCGAGAATGGTGACTCGGGGCCGGGGGAAACTCCAGGACAGAGAGGGAAGTCCTCTCCGGAAGCCTCGACCTTCACCCAGGAGGTACTTCCCTGGGCAGGGGCCCTTGCAGGCTTAGCCATGTGACCTTGCCTCCCACTGCCTCAGTTTCCTTATCTGGCCCATGAGGCTCTGGGTGGTGCCTACCTCCCAGGGCCGCTGAGGGAAGTGAAATCCTGGTGCTTAGCCCCTCTGCCCTGATGCCCACCCTTGGAAGGCCCCACTGGAAAGCCAAAGCCTGTTGAGTGAGCCCAAGGGAGGGGCAGCAATTTCTCCCTTGATTCCCCCAGGAGACAGGCTGGTAAGGGCAGGGTTCTGAAAATCTGAGGACAACTTGCACAATTCCAGAACCGCTGTGTTACCCCCGAGCCCAGCCCTGACACTGGTTTAGCAAGAAGGGGAAGCCCAGGAGCTGGTGTCCCCAAGCCTCCCTTCCTGACCACTGCAGCCTACAACTTTGGAGCCATTGTCCCCAAGCCAGCAGCAAGTTTATCTCTGTCCTGAATCTGGCCACTGTGTCTCCACTCTGACCCCCAAATCCAGGCCTCCCCATGGTTCCCCTGCTGCACCCGACTCCCAAATCTTCAGCGTTCCTCCCATGCCTGTGACACATGGCTCCCGGTGCTCCTTCCAGTGCTGTCCACCACTCCTCTAGCAAGAGCCCCCTTGTTCTTCTGAGCCCTTGGCCCTCTCAGGGCCTGTGTGCTCACTCTTCCTTTTCCTGGGAATGCGCTTTCCTGAGATCTTGTGACTTGCCCCTTGAAATTCAGGTCACTTCCTCAGAAGTCTGCCCACTCCACTCAGGAGCTCTCTGGGGCTTTGCTCTGTTTTCCTTTCATCTCTGTGCTCAGCCCTGGATGATGTGATCTCCCTTCTGTGTTTCTTGTCTTTCTGTTTATATTCCCAGCTGAATCAGCCCACGGAGGTCCTGGCCTTTTTCCTGCCTCTTCATCTTGGAGTCCCCAGAACTCAGCGCCTGGCATTTAGTAAAGGGTCAGATAATTGTGTGCATTTGCAAGCAAACTGTCTAACCATCTGAGTTCTGCGTTTCTCCCTTGTTGCTTAACAGCGTACTTTCTACATCTCCACACAGACCTCAGCACTGTCTTCACTTCTAGCAGCTGTCTGCCTTCTTTAGCACTTCCTTAAAGTGGGACTTCTCCAGGTTTTAACACAACATCCAACTTAGCTGTAAGCATTATTTTCCCTCTTATGCATTATTTATTTATTTATTTATTTTTGCTATCAAGTGATTTCTTTGAAATAGTTCTAAAATGGAGTGTTCAAGCCGAGGGCCTGCAAACTTGGAAGCCAGTTGCAAATGTCTGTTTAAAATAATCACCTCCCGGTCCATGTGTGTAAGTTTCCCCACAGCCCTGCAAGCATTGGGTTTTATCATTTTTATTTTTTTGGGCTAATTCAGTGAGGGAAGCAAGGGAGGTTAAAATTCTCTGCTGCTTGGGAGGGCAAAGCTGGCTGTTCTCCTGGATTCCCTGCGTGTGCTAGTTCTGTTTCCTGGCTTGTGAAGGAAGCTAGACTCTGCTGGCTGCAGAAGCTGCTCTGCCAACCAGCAAGAAACCTGCCAGTCCCATGTGCCCTCTGTGTGGAACCACTGGGGGAGAGAAAGTCTTTTTTTTTTTGAGTCTTTGTGAATATTTTTTTCAGCGTGGTAATATTCTACTTTATCAATTATAAACTAACTCAAGATGTGAGAGTTACTGTGTAGAGTTACTTACTGGAGCATTGGGGCAGGAAAAGACAGGGAATCACTTGAATGTTCACGGTCAGGGGGCTGAAACAGGTTGCTTGAGGGGACACCTGAGCACCATCCCAAGAAATGTCCTTGACCTAGGACACGTGGCACAGACCCATGCCCTGGCTGCTGAACAAGTGAACGTGAACTTGGTGGCTTAAAACAACCCACATTTATTATCTCCCATTTCTGTGGGCCAGAAGCCTCAGCCTTAGGCTCAGTGGTCCAAAGTGAGTTGCTGCCAAGGCTGCACTGCTTCCAGAGGCTACAGGGGGATCTGCTCACCCACTGCCATTGCCAGCTTCTAGAGGTGCTCAGGTTGCTTGTGTCTACCCCTTCTTCCATCTTCAAAGCCAGCAATAAGCATCTTCAGTCTTTCTCTGCTGCCAGCTATGCTTCTGTCTTCACATTGCCCAGGTCTCTGCCTCCATTCATAAAGACCCTTCTGGCTGGGCATGGTGATGCATGCCTGTAATCTCAGCTACTTAGGAAGCTGAGGCAGGAGGATTGCAAGTTTGAGGCCAGCCTGGACAATTTGGTGAGACCCTGTCTCAAACTTCAAAAAAATTTTAAAAGGCTGGGGTTGTAGTGTAACATTACAGGACTTGCCCATCGCACATAAGACCCTGGAGTTGATTCCCCAGCACTGTAAAAAACAAACCTTCTCTGATTACAGGGATTTTACCTGGATTATCTGCCCCCCACCGTCTAAGGGTCCTTAGAAGGAAATTATTCTAAGTGTCCTTAAGTGAAATTATCCTGCCTACCACCCCCCAAAGGAAATAAGCAAGATTCAGAGCAGTGTGTGGGCTCACATTTTTTTAAGGAAAAAACAAAGGAAAGGGGAGTGAAAGTATATATGTGTGTTTGTGAAGGCACAGAATACCCCAGAAGGCTGCACAGGCTACTGGCAGGCATAGCTGCTGCTGGGAAGGGGCTGTCTTGTCCTAGTACATCTTTTTGTATTATTTAAGATTTTTTACTACATGCATATGTCACTTATGTTAAAAATAATTTTGAAAAGTAACACATAGTCATTGTAGAAGTTCAGAAGCAAAGAGAAGGAAAGTAGCCACCCAACTGCCATGCAAAAATGACTCCCTTTTCTCCTAAAGATAACCACTGTGAAGAGTTTGGCTGTCCTTACAGACTTAACATTTTTGATAGCATTTTTTTTTTTAACATAGATGGGTCATCCAGCACATACTGCACTGTAATGGGGTTTTTGTGTTACTCTCCTGTATCCACATATGAAGACTGGGCAGCACTAGTCTCATGCTGCTCAGGTGTCCATCAGCAGACCCCATGGATGGAGCCCAGATGGCTTTCTGGCTTTCAGAGCAGTCCCAACGCTGTAATGCAGTGCCTGCCTTTCTGTCTTGAAATTGCAGTGAAATTCACAGAGCATAAAAGAAGTCACTTGAAAGTTTATAATTCAGCAATACTTCCTTCCCAGTACTGTGCAGCCCTCAAGCCATGACCCATATCTAGTTCCAGAACATCTTCACTGCCCTAAAAGGAAACCCCACACCCATTAAGCAGCCACTCCTCGATCTTCCCTGCCCCTAACCCCTGGCAGCCCTCTCTCTGCTGCTTTCTGTCTCCGTGGACTTGCTGTTCTCATCTTTTGTCAATGCAGATCACAGAGGATGTGACATTCTGTGAATAGCCACCTATCCTTAGCATAGAGTTTTCAAGGCCCATCCACGTCATAGCCTGTGTCTGTGGCTCATTCCTTTTTCTGGCGGGAGATCCCACATCCTGCTTCTTCATTCACCTGCTGATGGACATTGCTTTTGGAATGCTGTATTTCCGCTGCATACTCTCCATAGCAGCCCAAAAGCAGAGCCAGTGCCAAGCAGGCACATGTTGGGTGTATGTCTTTCTATGTACACTTTTGAGCTTTATACTAAATCAGACACTGTTACAACTAACTTATAACTAATTCATAAGCTAAGATTGCCAACCACATATTCAGAGATCGAAGACAGGATGACAGATCTGACAAATGTTTTCTTTTCCAGGTCCAGAGACAGCAGGAAAATGGCATCCGGTGATGGAGAGGTAAGTCGCTTCGGGTGTCCAGAAGCCTTAAAGTACCTCCCAGCTTCGAGAAGATAATTATGTTGTGGGGTTCCAGCAGGATAGAAAAAACCCCGTGACCTTGGCAACCTAGCCAAGGTCACAAAGGTGAAAAGCTAGAGAAGGTCTTCACAGATTCCCCAGGTAGCCTGGTAATCCAAATCAACCAGCTCAGCTCCCAGCTTTGCATTTTAATAAACACAGGCCATGAGGCCACACCCTTCCCCAGCCTGAGCCTCAGTTTCCTTAACCAGAAGATGACAGAAAGGTTCTTTACCACCGTTTTCCTGAGGAACTGTGGAAAGGATGAGACAGTGGTCTCTAAGCACTAGACCATCCCTGAGCCCGTTGGGCCTTTTCCTGACCACTCCCTTTTATAGGTAAGGAAACTCGGGCCCAGGGAAATAGAGCCACTTGTTCAGGCCCACACAGCTAGAAAGTGCAGAAATGGGCTTTCAGCCTGGCCTGACGCCAAAGCACAGATTTTGCCCCCTGTATTGTGTAGCCATCTGGAGTAGGCTGATGAAACTCTGTCCTTGATAGCTGGGGTGCCAGGCTCTTGGGGGCACAGGTGGCAAGCTGGAGAGGAAGCGTTGGCTTCCCCTTCTGTGTTCACGTGAAGGTTGTGCGGGCCCAGCCAGGGCAAGCTGTGTGCAGTGGGGTGAGGAGCTCATGGTAGCAACATCATGGGTGGGGCAGGGTCCCCAAAGCCCGTGTGGGTCAGCAGGACCAGGGAATGACAGCGATGGAGAGCTTGGATCTCCTCACACTCATGAGCCCCGTGCTCCACAAGTTCCAAGCATCGTTAGTAAGAAAGCTGGTTTCCAAGAAAGGCGGTTAGAAATAATACAGACGGTTCCTTGTTTTGCAATTCCCTATTATGTCAGGCAACCAAAAAGCATGTAGAAAGTCTGGCTCCTGGTTACCTTCTAGTTCCCAGGATACTGTATCAAGTATTAGCACAGGGCTGGATCAACCCCTACAACTGTTCTGGAAAATGAGTTTGTATCAGGAATCATAAAAATGTTCATATTGAAGCCTTGTTATCTCACAGAAAAAGAAATAATCCATAAAAACAAAATATTTTGTCATGCACAGTATCTTTGACAAATGTGCAAAAATGACTAAAGAAATAATTTAATGGCTTTTTAAAAAACAAAACAAAACAAAAAATGATGAGGCAGGAGGATCACATGTTCGAGGCCAACCTGGGTAATTTAGTGACCTAGCATGACTTTATCTCAGAATAAATAAAAACGGGCTGAGGATGCAGCTCAGCAGCAGGGTGCTTGCTTAGTGTGCACAGAGCCTGGGTTCAAACCCCAGTACTACAAAAGGACAAATTCATGGCACTAGATACTGAGCACATTGGATGTGAGATGCTGTCTGTTGTAGATGGACTGTTATGTACTGTGAAGTACTTTGGTGAGATAAAATGACACAAGGCTGAAACAGACCCATTGCGAAACAGGCACATCCACCTTTCAGAGATGTTAAAAGGTGAGAAAATGTGCTTCTAGAATTGGTGATAAAGATGCTGAAAATGAGACTCAATCAAAATGCAACAATAAGACCATCTGATTCCTTGGAAAGTGTCTTGGCCAGGAAGAGGCATAAGTCGGGTGCCTGTAACTGGGAGAAAGATGCAGAATCATCTGTGATCTCAGACTATAACCCTAAAGATGCAGGTTTGAGAAGTAGATAAATGCTAGAGAAGCTGGGTGTGTCGGGCTGTTAGGAATGTGTTTCCCTTTTGCTCACGTTTCACACTAGTAACACTAAAAAAAAATGGATGTGGGGTGCGGGTCTGTCCCCTGGGATGAACAGCAGCAGGTAAACCTGGGGAGTCCAAGGGAATCTGGAGGAGGCAGGCAGGTGCGAGGTGTAGAGGGGGCCTCGTCCAGGCCTGGACCAGGGCTCAGAAGCTGCAGGGGCAGTGGTACCCAGAATGCAGGGCCTTCTGAGGATGCACCTTGGGGAGCTCTGGGGGCAGGAGCCTGCCTGTCGTCACAGAGGCGGTGGCATTGCTGGGGACCTGGGGAGATGGGCAGGGCCGCTAGGGGCAAATGGTCTGGTCAGAGAACACGTTCTTTGTCATGCTTGACTCTTGTCAAGTTCATTGTGTGGTTTGGGGGGGGGTTTTTGGTACCGGAGATCGAACTCGGGACCTTGTGCTTCCAAGGCAGGTGGTGGAACCACTGAGCTAAATCCCTGGCATGTTCCTTGTGTTTTGAGAACCTTGTTTTCACTGGTTTGCTTTAGAGCTCTCCTACTTTTTATGACAGAACAGCTGTGTTGTTCAAGAAATTGATAAGGTGGTTAGGGGATTCACAGTAGCCAGTTCTATGGAGATGGACTCAGCCCACTGTGGACCCCTGCCCTCCATGGAGACCTTCTCTGAGCCTCAGTTTCCCTGTCCTGTAAAATGGGAACGACCACACCAGGGCACACAGCAGTGGCAGGGGTTAAAGGAGACTGCACACAAAGTCCTTAGCAGGGTGCTTGGCCACAGCCACCACCACAGCTGTAGAAGAGGCATTAGTCGGGTGCCTATGAGTAGCTGGAGAAAGATTCAGAATTGTCCGTGGTGTGGGGCTGCGGTCTCCATCCTGAGGGCAAGCTGGCTTTGTGGCCCGTCAGGTGACTCGAATCCTGGTGGCATGTGCCAGCCCCACCAGGAGCCTGGGGCTGGCTGTGCTTTGACGCCTGCAGCCCCACGGCTCCTGTCACCTGATGGCTCCTATGCAGCAGCTGTGGGTCAGTGCTGGTGCCAGGCTGCACACCGGCCATCGCCACACCGAGGCTGGTTGGGTCGGGATCTCGGAGTCCAGGACAGGGGCATTCGAAACCCTGCAGCTGATTCCACTGTGCAGCTGGGTCGAGAGCAGGTTTTCCTAGTTACAGCAGTGCGGGGCCGGGCGTGTTCACATGGGGTCCTGCAGGAGGAGGGAAACAGGCTGGGCAGCCAGGTTGGAGCCCTAGCTCTGATTCTCTTGGGCTGTGTGACCTGGGGTTCATCACTTGGCCTCTCTGTTCCCCATTCTTCACTGGTAAATGGAGACAGTTCAAGACTCACTGCATGGGGCAGCTGCGCTGAGTATAATGGGCTCTGCCCAGAGCTCCTAAGACAACTTGGGACTTGGGACTTGGGACAGTGGCAATGGTCTATGCTTTCCACCCCGGTGAACACAGCTTCATGATGGTGCCAGGGTGGCAGCTGCTCTGCAGAGTCGGAGGGAAAGGAGGTGAGGAGCACAGTTCTGGGCCACCAGGTAGGTGCCTGGGCCCGTAAGACCCCGTCCTGCCAGAGCCAGTCAGCCGGCTCAGGGCTTGTTTTCATGAACCTCAAACTTCCTCCCCACCCTAGAGAAGGAACAATTTCTACGCTTATTTAAAGACTTCCCTGATCTTAAAAATAGGCATTCCTCAGAACACACAGACCAGTGGGGCGGGGAGGCACGAGCAGGTGGCTCCTGTGTCCCGGAGAGGAGAGCTAGGCTGAGGGGCTCATCCCACCCCCTGCGTGTGGCTGGGCACAAGCCTGCCTAGGGCCCTCCTATAGAGGGCACACTGTGTTACCTTGTGTTCCTGTGGTCTGTACGAGTGCCCGCCTCCCTTGCCTGCCACCTCGTGTTGGTTTGTGACCTGATGTGACTTCAGGCCAGTGTTCTCCCCGTGCTTCTGTTTCTCCTCCTATGGAGAAATTGATGGAGAGATTGTTCTTCCTGTCCTGCCAACTCCTTGGGATGGACACAGCCCCAGGGGTGAGCGGGGGAGCAGAGCTGGACCACAGCAGAGGGGCTGCATCCTGTGCTTTGTGGCCTCTGCAGACACACTTCTTCTGGGGTCCAGGTGGGCTGCACGGCCCTCAGGGTGGAGGGAGGGAGCTCGTGGCACGCAGGCCACCTGGAGCCTGACTCTCGCTCATACCCTCTGTGCCCAAGTCCTGGGGCCAACCCTGGCTCTGTGCTGTCACCAGTGTGTGGCTTCAGAGTCCCCTCCCTCACTGACCCCCTACATGAGATGGGCTCAGCCCCAGGCCATGCTTGGGAGGTAAACTGAGACCATACGTGGAAAGAAGATGAGCAGTGTGCTCCTGTGACACAAGAAATGTAAAAGCAGAGTCAGTCATACTACCTGGTGCTGCTCGTGTGTCTTGCTGGAGTTTGAGGGGGAAGTCGGCGGTTAATAAGCAAATCAAGTCCCCCAAAATAGCTCTGGAAGGGAACAGGGAAATGGGGACTGAAGGGGCACTGGGCACTGGGAATTGGAAGTTGGCTGAATTTCTGAAAAAGTCTTTGTCTGTGGTTGTCAGATGGCCCTGAGACAGGGGCTCCCCCGACACAGACAGTGGCTGCCGAGCCTGTAAAAATAGACACTCACGCGAATCTCTTCCCCATCCCTTGGAGGTCTGCTTTTCTCTCGCACGCACCCCGGTAGTGATTTGTGTAACACCTGTCACGTGTCAAGACGTGTACTTTGGAGGAGCAACTGGGATTCTGTTAATTTGTTTACTAAATACTTATTGGGCCCCTCCCTGTGGCTGAGGGAGGACAGTCTCTGCCACCCTCCACTGGCCTTCACAGCCCAGCACAGGACGCGGGCAATGTGAAGGTGTAATGGCGCTGTGTGCGTGTGCAGGGAGACCCATCTGGGGCCAGGTAAGGAAGGCTTCCCTCCAGGGAGGCAATGTCTGGGCCTAAGCGGCAGTGGTGCACAGGATAGAGGGAAGGAGGCCGGGTGTCCAGGTACGTGCCTGTCATCTCCACTACTTGGAGGGCGAGGCAGGAAGGTCTGGAGTTTGAGGCCAGCTCAGGCAACTTAGGGAGATCTTATCTCAAAATAAAACTATAAAGAAGGGCTCAGATGTATCAAATAGTAGAGAGTTTACCTGGCATGTACAAGGCCCTGGGTTCAATCCCCAGTATCCCTCCCATACCAAAAGAAAAAGAAAAAACATCTAGGCCTAAGCCCTGGAGGATACATAGGGTGAGAGAGGCAGAGGGCGTTCTAGGTCATGGGGTCGCAGAGTGAGAGTGTGGTGCACTGTGGAACTGCAGAGAGGTGAGTGTCGCTGAGACAGAGGCAGGGAAGACCAGGAAGAAGTGAGGCCAGGGAGGAGACTGGCCTTGGGGACCGAGAGTTCAGAAGTGGCCTGAGACAGTGGGATGGGGCAGGGGCGACACAGCCTGATTGACATTGGATGGCATCAGAGGAGGGTCTGGCACACTATACTTTGGGGAGAAAAATGGGCACCAGGCCATGCCCTGGGGGGACGTAGAGGGAATGGGGAGCAATTTCAGTGTAGGTCAGTGAACTAATGAGCTGGTGGATCTCAGACATGAGGTGCAGACTGATTTGATTTCACATGATTTGAATGTGAACATTGAACACATAAGTGCGGTGATGCACATCTAATTTTAGCACTGTAGGAGGCTGAAGCAGGACAATCATAGGTTCAAACCCACCCTGGGCAACCTGGCAATTTAGCAAGACCCTGTCTCAAAATGAAAAAGGACCGAGGCCATAGCTCAGTGTGAAGGCCCTGGCTTTAATCCCAAGTACCCCCAAAGAAGGTGGGGGAGTCCCCCAGCCTGAGGACAAGGTCAGGGTCATGCTCAGGGTCCTGGGCTTTGTGACAGGAAGGTGAGCTCTGAGAAGCTCTGGGATATGGGAGGAACAGGATGGCAGGGACTCATGCAGGGGTGATAGAGTCCCCGTCAGCCATTCTGCTGGTGTAGCCGCAAGTGACAGACCTCCCTGAGGCACGGAAGACTCCGTCATCAGTCAGTTCCCGGGACTGACTGAGAAGTCTGGGGTCACAGGGGCCCTGCATAGTGGCAGATGAGCAGAGAAGGGCAACACCCATGGCCAGAGGTGCAGGAGAGGAGGGCAGTGAAGGGAGGGTGGAGCCAATCCCCGGAGGCTACTGCAGGCCAGGTACAGAGGCTCTGTGCCCCCCAGGCCTCTTCCCGCCAGAGCTGGGGCGGAAGCCCAGGCCCTGCTACTTCCGGGCCAGCTCTCTCTGACCTCTCTGTGGAGCTTTGCTGCTTCTGGCATGACAGAGTCTTGACTTAAAACCAGAATTATTTTCTGCTCTGCTGGGCGCCACAAATATTTTCATCCCAAATTACTAAAAGCTGCTTCTTTTACTGGTCGCAAGGTTTCAGAAAGAAAAATGTTCCTCTCCTGTAATGTAGAAAAGTGGTTTTTGCAAAGCCACCCAGGCTCCCACTGTGCCGAGAAAGGGCTCGGGCGTTTCCGGGGGAAACCATGGCCCAGTGTGGGAGGTGGGGGTCCAGTGTCCTCAGCACACAGGTGTGCGGGGGCTTCTTCCCCAGGTCAGATTTCACATTTGACCTGGGACACAGGCCCTGTCCTGCTGGAGGTTCAGAGCCAGTGAGGAGAGAGAAGTAATACTGGACACAAATCCATTTCTAATTGGAAATTGCAGCGAGGGCTCTGGAAGAGTAAAGAATGGGGGAATGAGCCAGGCATGGTGATGCACGCCTGTAATCCCAGCACTCGGGAGGCTGAGGCAGGAGGATCGCCATGAGCTCAAGGCCAGCCTGGGCTACATAGTGAATTCAAAACCACCCTTCACTACATATCAGGCTGTGGGAAGGATAGAGGCCAAGCGCTGTGGGGCTGTGTACGTCACAATGAGGGTCCTGGCCTTTGGAAGACAAAGGTGCAGACTGGGTAGCAGCAGAGGAGGAAGTAAGCTGCGGCAGTGAGAAGAGGGACAGAGACAGGCCCAGGACCCTGGCTGGGGAAGCATGGAAGCAGAAGAATCCAGGTGCTGTCAGGTTATGCAGGGGTCGTAAGGGCCCCTTGGGCAGCTCAGCATCTGGGAATCTCAAATCCGGCCTTTCCAAGGCACCGAGACACCGTGGAGAGTGGGCAGGGAGGGAGCCTGGAGCCCAGATTTCTGGATGACCCACTTGGGAGCACCAGCCCTCTACACGCCACCCGCGCCCGGCCTGCAGGGCCTTCCCCCGCTGCTTACCTAGAAGCTGTTGGGGGCATGGGAGGCTTAGGAAACAGATGGCATTCTCTGATAGACCTTGGAGCTTGAAGATTCTAGAAAGAAGAGGGAGATCAGAGGCAGTAACCTGTTTGCACCCTAGCCTTCCCTGAGCTTGTAAACGTTACCATGAGAAACATCCGAGCTTAGCCAGGTACAGTGGTGCATGCCTATGATCCCAGCTTCTCAGGAGGCTGAGGCAGGAGAACTGCAAGTTCAAGGCCAGCCTGAGCAATTTAATGAGACCCTGTCTCAAACCAAAAACAATTAAAAGTGCTGAGGATGTAGCTCAGTGTGAGGCCCTGGGTTCAATCCCTACCACCGTACCCCCCCAAATAAAATCTGATCTTGCACCAAAGATGAAGATTTTCTTAAATTTTACTTTCAAAGGTGTAATATATATAAAAGAATAAAATATTATCAAATACTTACATAATTATCAACCTGAATTGGCAGCTGTTAATATTTTGTCATACTTTAATCAAGTCTTGGGCTGGGGATTTAGCTCAGTGGTTCCGACGCCTGCTTTGTAAGCTCAAGGTCCTGAGTTTGATCCCCAATACCAAAAAAAGGAAACTTTAATCGATTCTTTTGGTTATTTAAAAAGCTATTTTTCAGATATTGTTCAAGTACATTTCTACATTTTTACTCCTATAGCCATTACTCCTCCCTGAGGGAATGACTGTCGTGAATTTCACTCATAAATTTGGTATCTTCTGGGTTTTTGTTTTTATTTTGAGGGATTTTTCTTTCTGTTTTGGCAATACTGGGGATTGATTGAACCCAGGGCCTTCACACTGAGCTACATCTCTGCCCTTTAAATTTTTTTTTTCTGGACCAGGGATTGAACTCAGGACCTTGTTCTTGAGAGGCAGGTGCGGCCACACTGAGCTAAATCCCAGGCTTTAAAATTTTTGATACAAGGTCTCACCAGGTCACTAAGTTCCCCAGGCTGGGCTTTAACTTGGAATCCTCCTGCCTCAGCCTCTCAGAGAACTGGGATCACAAACATGTGCTGCCACCATGCCCAACTGAGTTCATTCTTTTGTGTGTATCTAGAGGTAATCTGCCTGGAATTCACTGAGCCAAAATTTGCACCAACATGCTACGTTTTCCCATCAAATTGAGACAGTTTTCAGTCATTTTAAAATACTTTTTCCTTAATCACCCTGTTATCTCCTTCCAATACTATAGGCTCTTATATGTGACACCACTTATTATTGTTTCTGAGGCTCTTGTGTGTTGTTTGTTTTATGTGTTTTGTTTGTGTTTTTGAGACAAGGTCTTGCTATGTAGCTCAGGGTGGTCTTGAACTTTTGGCAGTCCTCCTGCCTCAGCCTCCCAAGTGCTGAGATTACAGATGTGCACCACTATACCTAGCTGTTCATTTTTTCATATAGTCATTTGTGTCTGCTTCCTATTTCCTATCGCTCTGTGTTTAAATTCACCGAACTTTTGTTCTGCAGAATCTCACTAGCTGTTAAGCCCATCAAGTGACTTTTCATTTCACATATGCATTTTTTAGCTCTAGAGAAGCCATTTAACTCTTTATAGTTTCCATTTCTTCGTTGAGATTCTTTGCCTTCTAATTAAGTTCATGTTTTCCTTGAAATCTTAATAAATTTCTAATAACTATTTTCAAGTCTTTATTGGCCTGTTCCATGATCTGAGTCCATTTGTGTCTTCTAGCTGATTTTTCTGCTGATTATATGTCACATTTTTCTGCCTCTCTGTCTAGTAATTTTTATTGCATCCTGGAAAATATGAATTGTATGTCGTTGAATCTATGTTATTTGTCTTCCCTAAGTGTTTTGAGATTTCTTTCAACAGATAGTTAATTTACTTGGGGATCAGCTTGATCATTTCAGGGTTTTTTTAAAGCCTTGTTGGGATGAGTCTAAGGTACCCCTTACTGTGGGACTAGATCAGGTCTATTTCTTGTGATCCTCTTGCCTCAGCCTCCCAGAGTCCTGGGATTACATCATGCACTACCATGCTCAGTTTATTTAGGTTAGGTCTCCATCTAAGGCATGCTCTTCAGAAACTTCTACTGAATGCTTAGGATGTTCACTGAAACCTTGATACTCTGACTATTGGAAACTCACATCTGTTCCAACCCAGCCCTGGGTAATCTCTGATAGTTGCTCAGCTTATAAGATCTATTTTGGTACCAGGGATCGAACTCAGGACCTTGCACTTGTGAGGCAGGCATGGCACCACTGAACTAAATCCCCAGCCTGCCAAGAGATGTTTTATTTTCTGAAGGTTATATTTTGCCCCGCCTCATAGAATTTGCTTTATGCTGGTGAAGTGTATGACTCGGTCAAGTCCCTGAGTTTGGAGATCCTCTGCGAGTCCCCTTTCTTTGGTACCCAGACATGCAAGCTCCTGAGGTGGAGCCTCAGCCCTGTCCCCCTCTATAGCCCAGGAAGTCCCTTCAGGCAGAGTCGAGGGGACTGTGGGGCTCGACCCCAGTGGTTTCTCTTCTCTAGAATCACAACATATTTTCTGTTTTATCCAGTTTCATAGTTGTTTATAGCAGGAGGGATAATCTAGTGAGTTACTTTGTCATGGCCAGAAGCAGAAATCTTATTCTTTTTATATATTTACACTCACATTTTTATACATTCCAAAAGCAGTACATAATATTTTCCATGTATTTAAAGTTTTACCTATGTGGTTCATATTATTTTTCCATATCTTCCATTTTTTTTTTTTGGTACTGGGGATCGAACTCGGGTCCTTGTGCTCGCGCAGAAGGCAGTGAAACCACTGAGCTAAATCCCCGGCCCTCCATATCTTCCTTTTATACTAAACATAACCCCAATCCCTGCCAAGTACTGGAGAGTGAAGCTAGGCCCTTTGCACTGAACTACAGCCCCAGCCTTTTCCTTTTGTTTCTTTTCTTCTTCTTTTTTATTCTTAAGTTCTTCTATTGGTACATTTTAGGTATACAATGCATTTACATTTATGATTGGGTGTTTGTACCTATACATGATGTATCTTAGTTCTTATTTTTTTCCCCATTACCTGTGCGCCCTTCACCTCCACCACCCTTCCCTATTTACATAGATTTCGTTTCCATTTTTTTTTCTTTTCTCATAATTTTTCCTTTCCTTTCTTCCCTTTCCCCTTCCCTTCCTACCACCCCTACCTCTTTGGACCTTTTTTCCTATTTCAAATTATCAATTCATTTTAATCATTTTAATCCTTATTTACACTTTCAGTTTCTCACACTAGAGAAACTATTCGGTATTTACACATGTGTGTCCTATTTATCCATTATTATTTATCCATTTACCTATAAATGTCTCTAGTTTCTCATTCTTTATGGCTGAGTAGTACTCCATTTTATTAAAAAAACCGCATCTTCTTTATCCAGTTTCCAGTTGATGGGCACTTGGGCTGCTTCCAAGCTTTAGCTATTACAAACTGCCCCTATGAACATGGGTGCACATACATCACTGTGGTATGATTCTTTTAATTCTTTTGGGAAGATACCCAGCAGGGGAATAGCTGGGTCAAATGGGACCTGTAATCCTAGTTCTTCGAGGTATCTCCATACTGACTTCCACAGTGGTTGCACCAGTCTGCACTCCCACCAGCAATGGAAAAGGGTTCCTTTCTCCCCACACCCCCGCCAGCATTTGTTATTGGTTGATTTCTTGATAGCAGCCATTCTTTCTGGGGTGAGGTGGAATCTCAGTGTTGTTTTCATCTTCATCTCTCAAATGACCAGTGATGTTGAACATTTTTTCATACAAACACATGGAAACTGAATAACACCTTCCTGAATAACCAATGGGTCACAGAGGAAATTAAAGAAGAAATTAGACAGTTACTACAAGTAAATGATAATGCCAGTACAACATACAGGAATATATGGGACACAATGAGAGCAGTTCTATGTGGGAAATTCATAGCAGTGAATGCCCATATTAGGAAAACAGAGAGAACTCAGATAAATAACCTAATGCAAAACCTCAAGCTCCTAGAAAAAGAAGAGCATAACAAATCCAAAGCTCGTACAAGAGAGGAAATTATAGGGGCCGGGGATTTAGCTCAGTGGTTCTGCCGCCTGCCTCGCAAGTGGAAGGACCTGAGTTCGATCTCCAGTACCAAAAACAAAACAAAACAAAACAAAAAAAACACCAAAAAAACAAGAGAGGAAATTATAAAGATCAGAGCAGAAATCAATGCAATGGAGACTAAGAGAATGATACAAAAAAATCAATGAATCAAAGAGTTGGTTTTTCGAAAGAATAAATCAATAAACCTTTAGCTAACCTTATCAAAAAAAGGAAAGAAAAGGTGCAAATCCATGCAATTAAGAATGAAAAAGGTGAAGTCACAACAGATCCAACAGAAATCCAGAGGATCATCAATACCTACTTCGAGAACCTGTACTCTAATAAAATGGAAAACACAGAAAAAATGGACAGATTTCTTTTCTTTTTTTTGAGGCAGGGGCTCACTATGTAATTCAGGCTGGCTTTGAACTCACTATGTAGCCCAGGCTGGCCTCAAACTCATGTCAATCCTCCTGCCTCAGCCTCCTTGGGATTACAGGCATTCATGCACCACCATGGCTGGCCTCTGTCCTTTTTTATTTTTTATTTTGAAACAGGATCTTGCTAGCTTGCGTGGGCTGGGCTCTCAACTTATGATTGTCCTGCCTCAGCCTCTCAAGAGTGCTAGGGTTACAGGTGTGCACCACCACACCCAACTACACTGAAGATACTTTTTCAGATCTATCCACATTGCTATATTCAGTAACTTACATAGTTGAGTGTTTCAGGGTGTCTGGTAAGGGCAAGGGACTGTGCTAGCATGTGTGCCACTGCCCAGGGCAGAAGCAGCCCCTCTGTTGTGGGAGGAGGCAGATAGTAATGTCTGATAGCAAAGGCACAGTAAAGAAAATGCAGCAGGGGATGGAGGGTAATGGGGTGACCGGGCACAGCCTTCCAGGAGGGGAGAGGTTGAGCAGAGTCCGCCCTGAGCAAGGTGGGGCCAGGTAGGCGTCCTGGGTGGGGAGAATCCCAGGGAGAGACCAAGTGGCGCGAAAGGCTGCAGGAGGGTTTTGGGTGAGGGCACAGTGTGCTCTTGTGCACGTTTAAAAAATTCTCCATCATTACGCATGGGGAACAGGTATTGGGAGGCAGCGGGGGCTACTGCAGAAATCCGGGCAGGAGATGACGAGAAAGACCGGCCGGGACCAGACACGACAGTGGTGGTCCTGTTAAGGATGTGTAAAGGCTGGCTGGGTGTGGTGGCACACACCTGCAGTTCCAGCACTCAGGAGGCTGAGGTAGGAGGATCTCTGGGAGCTCAAGGCCAGCCTGGACTACATAGTGAGACCCTGTCTCAAAAAAATCAATAAAAAGGATATAAAGGCAGAGCCAGCAGAACTTCCAGTGGGGCCATGTAGGGCAAGGCAGGAACCAAGACTGATGCCCATGTCCTCACCCTACCAGAGGGGACAAACAAAATGCCTTGTGCTGAAAAGGACGTGGTTTGTGTGTTGGCTATTGAGTCTGGCGTTCAGGTGAGAGGTGGGGCTGGAGTTTGAGTGTAATCAATGTAGAGATGGTTTTTAAAAGTCAAGGTGCCCGGCAAAATCCTCTAGGGTCTAGGAATGGAGAAGAGGGGTGGTCAGAATTGAAGCCCTGGGAATTCCAACACTTAAATGTAAGGTTTTCCTTTTAAGAGATCGAGCAAGAGACTGGCAGGAAGCAACCACTGGGGAAGGAAGAAAACCAGGAGAGTGAAGGAAAGCATTTGAAGGGAGGAAAACCAGTGAAGGAAGCATTTGGAAAAAGGAATGACCTCTATTCAATGCCGTTGAGTGGGTACATGTGCTATACAACAAGGTAGTTCATTCTTTTCACTGCTGTCTAGTATTCCATCACATGAATAGAGAAGATTCATTCATCTGCCTCCCTCCATTTTAGTTAATGAATATTTGCAGCAAACATTCTAGAACCTGTCACCAGTTGGAGCACATGTGGGTGAGCTTGTTTTTGGATTGTGTCTAAGGAGAGAATCAGGAAATCATTAAGAATGAGACACACATGGTGGGGATTTAGCTCACTAGCACTGCGCCTGCTTCGCAAGTGCAAGGTCCTGAGTTCAATCTCCGGTACCCCCCAAAAAAAAGGAAAAGAAAGAAAGAGACACACAACTTCAGCTTCTCAAAATAATGTTGCCAGAGTGTGTCCCTAAGAGCTGCCATTTAACACCATCACCACCATCGACTAGTGTAGACGTTCGGGTTCTTCCCAGCCTTGGGAGTGGCTGTGAGTTCAGTGTGCATCTTCCTACGTAGTGCTGAGGTTGGGTACTTGGTCCTCTGGATTCCCTTTTACCTGACCTGTGTGTCAGTGTCCGTTGCCCAATTTCCTGTAGGGTTTTCCTTTTCTTTTTTACTTCTAAGATTTCTTTGTATATTCTAGACTCTAAATCTTGTTTCATTAAGTACATGCACATCCTTCCTCTTAGGGTGGGTGTCTCTGACCGTGGAGGGATATGGGGTGTGAGCACTCATGCCTGCATGTCGTATAAAAGCTTTTAGTTTGGATCCCGTAAAGTCTATCTACAAGAGAATTGCTTGTATTTGTTCTAAGATGTGTAGTATTTTTAAAACATATACATGACATGTCAAGGTATCGAAATTTATTGTGTGTGTGGTATGAGGTGGGGACAGGGTTTATTTTTCTTGGGTTGGAAAAGCCAGATGTTCCGACTTTTCCAGTCTGCTCCCACTACTGGAGACTGCCACCACCTCCCCTCAGGTTCCCACGAGGACATAAATCTGTTTAAATTCTCTTTTTCTGTTCCATTTGTCACATCACCTATTCTTGAATTCATACATGTACGTTATATTACTTAATACAAATTTGATACCTGGTAGAGTAAGGTGGGCACAGGGGAAGGCGAAACAATTTGCTTTTGCCTTGAAGTTATCTCTGTGAACAACGGCATGTGTAGTTAAAATAGCACTGGCTGAGCCAGGTATGGTGGTTCATGCCTGCAATCCCAGTGCGCTGCGGAGCTGAGGCAGGAGAATCACAACTTCAAGATCAGTCTGGGCAATAAGCAACTTAGACCCAATCTAAAAGTAAAAAAGGGAAAGGGGTGGAGATGTAGGTCAGTGCAAAGGCCCTCGGTTGGATTCTCAGGGCCACACACCCCACACCCCCCCCCCGCTAAATTTAGAAAAAAACTCCATTTGCCGCTCACCTGTCCAGGACTCATCTGTGGAACGAGGAGGGGAGAGGTCCCGTGACTTTCCTGTGACACTCTGGGTACTTTTACTCGTGGCCTGTCCTCCTCCCCTGCCTCTCACTCTCCCTGCCAGCCCTCAGGTTGTGATGTCCCTGAACCGTGGGGTGGCTTCCGGTAGGGGGGTGTCCTGCAACTGGGCTGTGGTTCCGACTGCGTTCGTCACAGCCAGCCAGACCACAACAGGGTTTCCTGTTGCCTCACTGACTCTGAGACCCTGGATTCTAAAAATAAACACACCAGAAGCTGCTGTGACCTCCCGGCCTCTGTGCCTGGGTGCTCTGGGGGCCCCGGGGCTCAGGCTGCCTGGCCTCACCCTCTTGCTCCTTGGCTCCCCTTTCAGGCCGTTACGCACAGGGCCAGGGTGGCCCCAGCAGAGAGGATGAGCCGGTTTCTGCGGCACTTCACTGTGGCCGGGGATGACTACCACTCCTGGAACATCAACTACAAGAAGTGGGAGAACGAGGAGGAGGAGGAGGAAGAGGAGGAGCAGCAGCAGCCCCCACCTGCGCCTGCCTCGGGTGAGGAGGGCAGGAGCGCTGAGGCTGCCTCTGTCCCTGGGCCCAGAGCCCCCCTGGACTTCAGAGCCAAGCTGAGGAAGCTCTTCCACTCCCACCGCTTCCAGGTAGGGGGGCGAGGCCAAGGCTCGGCCGGGGCAGGGAAGGGCCCTGTGGGGAAGTCGCCAGGCTGCACGGTGGCCCCCATCACCACCACTCTTCACTGCACAGATGGGAGGTGAGCACCGCCGTGTGCCCGGCACCTGAGCAGCCCCAGGGGTCACGGGAGGGCCCCTGTCGTCAGGAGAACAGGAGGGGACGTAGCAGCTTCAAAGAAGAGCAGAGAGAACTGAGCCTGGCAGGGTGGATGTCTGTCCTGACATTTCGAAGGACATTCTGACTGTGGAGGACAAAGGCAGACTCACACAGAGACTCTGCCCTGGACAAGTGAGTGTCTGGAGCACAGGGAGGCCCTTGGGGCCACTGCTGTGGGCCTCCTCCCAAGGCCCACATCTCTTCGGAAGGAGAGAGGCAGCCCCTGCCCCCCTCATCCCTGACTTTTTTCTGGGGTAAAGCAGAGAAATTGTTTCGGCCTCTTTTTTTCTTGCTCTTGAGTGGCTTAAAGGAAGCAAGCCAACGCCACAGAGCTCTTTGCGGCCCTGGCCGTCTTCTGTGGTGTGACAGGAAAGGAAACGTGGTATTAACTTGTTGGGGTTGAAATCCCAAACCCTCAATTTCAGGAGCAGAAGGAAGGAGGCAGCTTCCTTCCAGCTGCAAGGGGAGCCCTGAGCAGCCCCCTCCAGATGCCCTGCAGCTCCCAAGTGCCCGGCCTGCTGGGGGCTGGGGCCGGCACCCTGAGCAGGGGCCTCCAGAGACATTCCCACTGGGAAAGAGACTGACTGCTGTGAAGTAGAGAATTAATTCTCATGCCACAGTCACACCTACTATGTACAGCAAACCTGTCCCCCCGCTCGCTGAGGAGGATCTGAGTCTGCAGAGAAGCAGGAATTGCAGGGGTGGTCACCCACACGGATACCGGTTACGAAGAGAAGTCCCCTCAGGGACACAGCGGGGCTCTGGGAGCTCAAGGGGTCAGGGACCTGCTGCATGCCTGGGACTGGGAGGAGGTGCTCTGTTGCCTGACACCCAAAGGCTGAGCAGCAGTGAGTCCTGTGGGTGTGGGTGGTTCTTAACACCGGTGATCTCCAGAGTTTTCAGTTTTCTTTTGGTTTTGTTTTCTTGTGGTGCGGTGATGGAGCCCAGGGTCTGGCCTGGGCTCTGCAAGCCACCCCCTCCAGTGCCCCAGCCACACCCTGTGGATGCAGCGGCCACCTTCCAGGCAGAGGGGCCGGGTTTGCCCAGGGCCAGGCTGGGACGGGGCTGCTGCCTTGAAGGAGTAGAGAAGGGCTCCTGGCTCTGTAGTGAGCAGAGCGACCACCCAGGAGGAGGGGCAGCAAGGTGGCCTGTAGTGGCACTCGGCTGCCATTGGGGGCTCTGGTGGGGGGGCATGGTCAGATTGGTAAGGGGCTGGGGTGGAAGCAGGGGAGCTGATTGCGGTAGGGGCTAGGGCGTAGAGGATTTACTCTGATGGGAGAAACTGTACAAGAAGATCTGGGAGGATTGTGAGTTTAAGCCTAGTTGGGGCAACTTAGCGACTTAGCAAGGATCTGTCTCAAATAAAAAATTTAAAAAGGCCTGGGGATGTAGCTTGGTGTGAAGGCCCTGGGATAATCCCCAGTACCACACACACACACACACACAGCCCTGGAATCCCATCCTTGGGGAATTTGAAGTGGCCAGGATGACACGACACAGAGTTACTGCTGTCACTTTGCACACAGGATGGCACAGCCAAATGGGAAGCCATGATGGACAGGACTGAGTAGATCTGGGACTTTGCTCTTACCCTGCACCCCTGCCTGCCAGGTCCTGTGCTGCAGCTTCCGTTTAATGGAGGCTCACAGCCCTGAAAGGTGCCAGGTGTGGCTGACAGGACCTGGCTGGCTCCCCTGAAGGGACGGGTTGGGGGTTATGGGCTGCTCCGAATTCCCTGTCTTTTTCTGTTCTCTGTGACATGGCTCCATGGCTCCGTGGCTCCCCTCAGACACCGTGCAGCCCAGTGAGTGGCACATTCAGGCCTTGGGGCTGGGGTCTGGGCATTGTAGTTGAGTGATCTTGCATTTTCTGTCTCATTTTTGTTTTTGTAAATTCAGGTGCAATTCACATAAAACTAAACACTTGAAAGTGAATAATTCTGCAGCATTTAGGATGTTCACAGTGTTGTATAACTCACCATTATCTAGGTCCAGAACACTCTCATCACGCCCAAAAGAAATGCTGTTACCCCCCATCCTCCCGCACCCCTGGGAACCATCCATCTGGATTTTGTCTCTTTGGAGCTCCTGTCCTGGGTGTTTTATCTTTTATCTCACCATGATGTTTGCAAGGCCTTTACCAGCATCACCCTACTGGACAGCAGCACGTATCAGTGCATCAGGCCTCATTATGGCTAAAACACGGGTTTGTTCTTAACATTGCTGTGCCTTGCTTTTAGACTACATGAGCTCTCAGATCCCTCGGGCTCTGAAATAAATCCAAGGATTGAAAAAAAAAAAAGAAAAAACCCACCACCATCACCAGAAGCTTGAATCTTCATTGAGCTACTGCATTTGGATATGTGTGGAAACTGAGCAATGCCACATCATCAAGACATATTATCAGGGCTGGGAATTTAGCTCAGTGGCACCATGCCTGCCTCCCAAGTACAAGGTCCTGAGTTCCATCCCCAGTACCAAAAACAAAATAAAACACATTATCAGATACTTTACTGCAATCATTAACTACAGGTTGAAATGGTCCAAAAGCTTAATGGTCCATTCTTATGTAGACATCAGCTTGTTTAATTTCAACCCAGAATTGCCAGTTGAACAGCAGACTCATTTTCAGAGGTCAAGATCCCACTGATCTGGCCAGGCCTGGTGTTGCAGGCAGGGAGGGCGAGGTAGGAGGGTCACTAATTCGAGGCCAGCCCAGGCAATTTAGGGATTAAGCGAAACACTGTCTCAAAATAACAAAAAAAAGTCTGGGATGTAGCTGTATGGAAAGGCCCTGAGTTCGATCCCTATTACCCCCTCCCTAAAATAAAAAGAAAACTCCGCTGATTTGAGGGGCAAGGCCAGGGACTAAGTGATGTCTGGAATCCTTCTGGGAAGAGAAGGCTCATGCACGATCCTTTGGGACTTCACTTTCAGGGTGATGCTGCCTGCTAGGTACAGTGACATTACTGTCATCCAGTTACCTGAAGAGCAGGTGGTCCCCAGGGTAGGGATGTGTTCAGTGACTGAGCCTCTGTTCTGTGCATGTCCAGGCTCCAGCAGAAGAAGTAGAAAAATACAAACTTTCATTACATTATCATTTTTTCCACCTAGGAAGTAGCATTCGATTTGAGATCGTGTATTTGAGAAAGTGATTGAGGAAGGCAAAGTCCAGTGGTGGCCAGGGGGCTGGAAATGAACCACAGACGCTCCAGTGGCCAGGCAGGCTCCTGCCCTTGGTGTCCGTACCCGCCATCCTGGGGGATTTCCAGGTCTCATGGTTTCTGCTGCTTGCAGGTCATCATCATCTGCCTGGTGGTTCTGGATGCCCTGCTGGTGCTGGCCGAGCTCATCCTGGACCTGAAGATCATCAAGGCCGACAAGAACAAGTATGCGGCACAGGTAACATCACTGTGGCTTCTCTGCACTTCGGGGCAGTGTGGAGCAGCGGGGAGGAGCTGGGCTGTTTGGTGTCATTTGCTTCCTGTCTTCTGATGTTTGTGCGGTGCCTACACTGGAGCCCTGGGTGACACCACTGAATCAGTTACTGACCACATTGGACCCTGATGTCACCCAAGGGGCAGTGGATGAGGGGGAGACCCAAGCTTAGCATCTTCCTGTGTGGTTTATGTGGAGATGCTGGGGCTCGAACCCGGGCCTCATACATGCAAAGCACGTGCTCTACCACTGAACGATGTCCCCGAGCCCTATGTGCTTTTAAGGAAAAAAGGGAATCCTGGACCGGGGATTTAGCTCAGTGGTTCCGCTGCCTGCCTCGCAAGTGCAAGGTCCGGAGTTCAATCCCCTGTACCAAAAGAAAACACACACAAAAAAAGGGAATGCTGTGCACATGCCTATGTTTTCAAGTGGTAAAAGGGCAGAAGGAAACATCAAACCTCCACGCACTCGCCCAGGGCAGCCCCCCTATCTCACTGTGCCTTAGTAGAATTTGTGATGCTGCCTTTTTTTCCTAAGTTTGTATCATGAGAAATGGCAGATAAACCTTTTGCCACATTAGCTTTATTGCTGTACATCCCCACCAACAGACATGTGTTTCTGTCACCGGCGTTGTGACTTCACCCCTAAACACATCAGCATGTCTACAGCCTGGCCCACATTATCAGACCTAAATCAGTGTCAGCAGCACTGTCTCTCACACCACTTGGATTCGCAGTCCTTCACTGGTCCCGAGAATGTCTTCTGAGATGCTTCTGTTTGCTGATCTACATACACCTCTTTCCCTCCTCACAACACTGACTTTTTTTTTTCTTGGTATTAGGGATCGAACTCAGGACCTTGCACTTTCGAGGCAGGCAGTGGAACCACTGAGCTAAATCCCCAGCCCACAACACTGACTCTTTAGAGTCCCACCAGCTGCCCTGTAGGATGTCTTGCATTCTGGATTAGCCTGTGCAAATCCGGACCAGAGGCCCTTTGGTTTGTTCCCTTCTCCCAGAAGTACACACTGGAAGTGAGGTCAGAGGCTCCATCAGTGAGGACTGCTCATGACGGGCTGTGTTCTTCACATGCACCCTTGGGGGACATCATGCCAGGGCCCCCGTTGGTGACAGTCAGATCATGACTTAGGTGGCAAATGCTGGTGTGCTCCACTGTCCGGGGCACTTGTCCCTCTGCAGTTATACATAGCCTTCCCGGTGATACTTTGTTCCACACAAATTTCCTTCCCAGTGAGCATCCAGGTCCTGGCCTGAGTCAGCGAATTCACTGGGGATATAATAATTTTCTAATTCTGCCTTTGCCTCCACCTTTAGTAACTGCTGTTCTCCCGTAAAGAAGAGCTTTCTTCGCCTTGTGTGTGCCTGCCTCACTGTGGGCTCATGGGTTTTTTATTCCTTGTGTGTAACTGTATTATTCTTTTTGATGTTCCAATTTGCCCCTCCTTGGTCACTGTGAGCCTCTTCAAGCTGTGTCCTTTTGACCTGAGTCTTTAGGCATTTCCCTGCTTTCTGGCACAAGAGAGAGAAGAACCAGGGACAAGAGAGAAAGGGGCTGGGGACAAGAATGCACCCTTCTAGGTCACAACCCCAGTGACTACCTCCAACCAGGCCACACCTCCCAACAGCACATTCAGATACTGAGCTCCTCCATGGAGGAGTCCACTGATGAGTATAGAGCCCATGATCCAATCCACGCCTACACATTAGACTTTGGGGGGACACATTAGATGTAAACTATAACATTTAGGGCACAGCTGTATGCACTGATTGCCCTTCAAAGGGCAGAAACCTGGCCAGTGGTGTTCGCAGCTGTATCAGAGAACAGGGTCTGGCTCTGGTGGCTCAGCATTTGTCACACCATGGAAGTATTCCACTGGCACCAGGGCAGGGGTCCTGAGGCCGGTCCGTGTGGCCTGCCTCAGCCTGTGACCAGAGGCCCAATCTCCTGACTGTGGCTCCTTGTCCCCTTCAGGTGTTCCACTGGATGAGCCTCGCCATCTTGGCCTTCTTTATGATGGAGATTTTCTTTAAGATATTTGTCTTCCGCCTGGAGTTCTTTCATCACAAGTTTGAAATCCTGGACACAGTGGTCGTGGTGGTCTCGTTCGTCCTTGACATTGTCCTCCTGTTCAAGGAGCACGAATTTGAGGCTCTTGGCCTGTTGATCCTGCTCCGGCTGTGGCGGGTGGCCCGGATCATCAATGGTACATGAGTCTCCTGGGCTGTGGAGGGGACAGGAGAGCAGGTGGGGCCGGGCATGGTGCTGGGGCCAGATGTTCAGACACACGTAGGTTCCACCATGGCCACCACCACCACCTCCCAGGAGCCTGGAGAAAAGGGAGCTGGTGACATTTGGTGGCCAACTGCTGCCTGTGTGGCCACAGATGGACAGGGCAAGTGCCATGAGAACTCCCTTTCTCCTTCAGCCCTTATTTTTATGATTATCAAAAGATAGAGAAGTTTAGACTAATCCCCAAGGAGTCTCTTGGGGTTTTTTTCTCAGAGGTTCTTTTTTTCCTCAGTGTTAGGGAGTTGAGCCCAGTGCCTTTGTGCTGAACTACACCCCTAGCCCTTTGTTTGTTCTGACACAGTGTCTAAGTCACCTAGCTGCCCAGGCTGGGCTCAAACTTGTGATTCTCCTGCCTCTGAGAGTGCTCAAAACACAGGCATGTGCCACCATGCTAGGTGGTCATCTTTTTTAATTTAGTGTTTCCCAAGAGGATTCCACTAAACCCAGACCACCTGGGGAGGGCACCCGCCCGAGGGCCCAGGAAGCTGAGCAATGCTACATGCCACATTCCTCCCTCAGAGAAAGTCATGGCATTCAGTAGCATGAGGTAGCCACGGTTTTCTAAATTGAACATTTTGGTGCTTCGGGAGAAATAATGCCTATAAACATGCCCTAGACTCTGGCAAAGGTGTGTGGGGAAATGGTATTTCAGGAGAAACTCTTTTGTCTTACACCCTTGGGCCTAGGGCCTCCAGTTCAGAGCTCTGCACTTCTGCAGATGTGACACGGCCGTGGTGACAGCCAGCTGCTCAGCTGGCAGTGACCTGGACGTCAATAGTGTACATCGTCTGCCACAGAGGGTGGGCAAGCTTGGCAGTGTGATCACTGCAGCACCCCTGCCAGGCTCAGGGCTCTCCAGATGAGGGGTTCACTGGGGAGGGGAGGGGCAGGGTGACACAGAGCTGCTCCTCTTGGTGGCCTAGTGATAACAAAGCTGCTCAAGAACCTTGCTTTGGACTCTGCCAGGGAGAAGGAAGCTTTCCGTTACCACTGGGGCGGCTTCTTCAAGCGAGTGACAGCTGCCAGCCTGGTGCTTCACGTGGCATTTGTGCCCCAGCTCCTGTCCCCAGAAGGTTTTGTGACAGAGCCTAATGTTCATTGTGACTGTGTGTGAGGATTTCTCAGGCTGTGTAGGCCAAAGGCACCTGTCGGGTAGCTGGGTACTGAGCAGTGCAAAACCGAAACACCTGGCCCACTGGCTCCACTCGGTGACGACTATCACTGCTCTTCCTACCTCTGTTCATGCATAAGAATATACTGCACATCTTTGTTTTTTCCCAATTACAGTAGAAACCAGTATTTCTGATGTACTCCATTACCTTCCAGGGATAATTATCTCGGTGAAGAGCCGTTCAGAACGGCAACTCTTGAGGTTAAAACAGATGAATATTCAGTTGGCGACCAAGATCCAACACCTTGAGTTCAGCTGCACTGAGAAGGTAAGACCCTGCGGATGTCCTGCTTGACATCCCCGAGTGTGGGGCTTCACATATCCCTGCAGTGGCCGCCGCCCTTTCGCTGGACCAAGTGGCCCCTGTCCCTTCCCACTTCACCCATCCCGCCTCCCAGAGCCATGCCCACAGCCCAGGCTATGCCAGGCAGCCCTCCTCTGGGCAGCTCTTGTCCCCACTGTGCTTGGGGAACCCTGTCTGATGGAGCAGTCTCCTCAGCAGCCTAAAGTCCACAGGACAGCAGCTCTCATGTGTCCCTGTCCCTGGGCTCCTCAAATGATTGTCATAAACCTGCTGAGGTTCAGGTCGATTCTGATATTTGCTTTTGCAATAGGAACAAGAAATTGAAAGACTCAACAAACTGCTGCGACAGCACGGACTGCTCGGTGAGGTGAACTAGGCATCTGCCAGCTCCGCTGGGGAAGACCCAGTCTCCCAGGCCACAGGGTGACGTGGGCCCCGTGGGGTTCGGGCAGACACAGCCTCCGAGGACAGCTCTGTCCTCTCTCGGTCTGACCGAGAGCTGCTCGTGTTATATGACAAGCGTACCAACTAGTTTCTCATACTAGACACTTTACTCTTGATTGAAAACGAACAAACCTGGACAGTGACTAGTTGTATATAAAATTTAATCTCCTCAAATGTACAGTTTTGAAATTTCACATGTCTCTGGTAGGGGCAGCACATCCTTTTGGATGAGCATTTAGAGAGGAAAAGAAGGCAGCTGGCTTGGCTGCTGGCCCCTCCGAGCAGTCCCTCCTCAGTGCAGACGCTCCAGGCTCCCGGCACCCGGCCTGGGATCCAGCTGCCTCAGCAGCTTCTCGCTGGCTCCACCTACTTCTGCCACCTGGCAATGTTTTTCTCGATTACTGTACAATTAATGTGTAAAAGCACCGCACTCCTTACCCTGGGCCCTCCCACCGCATTCTTCCCTCAGTGGCATCCCACGCCACCCCACCATGTGGAGAGCCAGCGAGATGTGGAGTTCGGCGTGGAAATGCCAATTAGACCCGAGCTGGCCCTGTAATTAATGTGATCTTCGGGAGAAGAGCCCCTCATGAGGCTTTGTACGCTCCTCGCATGATTTTATATGGTATTTTGCTATTTTTGTACTTATTTCAACGGGACTTGAAAGAAAACCTGAACTCTGAACAATGAACATTTTTAAAATAACTCGCATTAAAGCGGGATGAATAAAGCAGATAGACTCTCCCTGCGTGCACTGTGTCACAGGCTGTTCTCTGCAGTCTCCCAGGGACAACTTGGTTTCCACCTAGGACCTCCATATAGGATCAGCTTGAAATCAGAAGCAAGGAGAGCACAATGCCTGAGAGGGAAAGGTTCTGTCGGGAGGGGAGGAGAGGGCCAGGGTGTTGGTTCAGGGGCAACCTGGGGTGAAGAGGAGTGCGACCAAGTGGTCACAGGTGCAGACCTTCACAGCGGGCCTTCACGACCACTCACGTCACACAAACGGGAAGAAGAAGTCGAAGGGCAGCCTGGCATGGACGGTGGGCCGAGCCCGGAAGCCAGCCAGAGCAGGTGCAGACACGTCCACAAAAGTCACTGCCGTGGAAACGACAATCGTCCTTCCACTTCCTGCGTGGGTCTGTAGTAAAAAGTCAGAGCTGCACGCCTGCCCTCCAGTGTGTTAGCAGGGGGACAACCAGGGGACGCTGCCTTCCCCTCACTGGCTGCTACACCTCAGGCGTCTGATGGGCACGTGGTGGGCCAGCGAGCAGCTCCACCAGGCATCCCAACCTCACCAGGCTCGGCCGAGATGCGGCACTCACGAGACTCAATCAACTCTAATCAAGAATGCTAATGCCGACAGAACCTTGGCCAGTGGGGGCTTTTCTTTTCAAGTACAAGAATAACTGCAAAACTGTTTTGAGATTCCAGATTGTTTATCTTTTTTATCAGGTAATAAATTTCACCTGTCATATCTGAGTTTTGTTTGGACTTGTTTGTCTGAACCTCCAGCGTTTGGATTTTTGGTTTTGGTACTGGGGATGGAACCCAGGGCCTTGCTCTCTCACTGAGCTCCAGCCCCAACTTACGCCTTTTTATTTTTATTTCTGTGGAACTGGGGATTGAACCAGGGTCTCGAACATGTAACCCAGCCTATACCATTAAGCTCCAGCCAGGCCTACCTCGGGAAAGGCGGAGGAAAGGAGATTCGCCGTTACGTTTACTATTCTGGCCTGGGGGTTCAGTAAGGATCCATACTTGGTCCACTTCACTTCTATGACCAAAGCTACTGGGAGCAGGCAAGAATTCTGCAAAACAAAATGCCAGTCATCAATCTGAATATTATACAACCTCAAGTCAAACGTAATCTGCAGTTCAGAGTTTTAATTATAAAATGTTCCACATATTACAAAATGTTCCAAACAAGAGAATGAATAGATTCCAGAAGTTCAGATTGAAACAGCTTTGACAAAGCACATATTATTAAAACACTTAGTGCTTCAAAAATACTTCACACCTAATGTGACGTTTCCATTCCCTCTGATTTCCAGAGGCCAGTGTCACCTGTGAGTGGTGGTTGTCCACTCTCCAACTGTGGGACCTTCATGGCCTTAAGGGCCCCAACTTCATCTACCTGTCTACACCTACCTCAGGAGAGAGGCTGGGTGCGCTTGTGGATAATGGAAATTAACAGAAGTTAAACTTGACTGCATGTCTCCCTAAAATGCTCTGAGAGGAGATCTAAGCATTCTTTCCATCTGTCTAATTTCATAAACTGGCAACTAAGATATGACATTTGGGTATCCGGGCAGTGCCCGTTATGTTGAGCACCGAGAGCTCAGGCTGGACTCTGCGTGCCCCAGGACCTTTGCTTGTTCAGCCCCAAGGGGAGCATGGGGATCTGGGGTTTCCAGACTCTTGTCCTGCCTCAGTGTCTTTAATTGGCACATGTGTTAACTCTAGAAGCCGAATGGTGGGTAGCTGGGGATCCCATTGTATGAGGGTACTTTTCTGTGGGTTTGAAATTTTTCCATAATAAAAGCTTTCTACTAAATACTGCTTTTAGGGCATGAAACGCTAGCAGGCCTGCTAATACCTGGTGCCTGACAAAAAGTGCCAACGGGTCACGCAACTTAGAACTTTTCAAACCACGCAGGCTGCACAGTCCTTGCCAACACCCTAATACTGGGAGAGGCTGAGTACGGCTGTGCTCCCTGCTACCTGCACCTGGGTTTCACTCACGGGTGCCACAAGCCTGCTCCAGGCCCGCTGGGCTCCCTGGGCCAGCACAGCCCCAGCACAGCCACGAGCAGTGCCACCTCTGCCCTCAGCCTGTCCACCAGGGCAGCAGCCATAACTGGTGACTTCACCCAGGAGAAGCCAGGAGCAAGTTGCTGGGTCCCCTGGGGGCCGAGCAGCAGGGACAGAGACCTGGTCTCAGGTCTTCACTGGGGACTCAGCAGGGAGGGCAGACGGCTTCTGAGCATCCTCACCTCATCATGCCCTGCTACAAATGTGCCTGGAGCATGTGTGACAAGATAGCTGGGCAATTAGGGCATAAGACAGTGCACTGCAGTGACAGGACGGCCCACACTTTGCCAAGACAAAAGAACAGGTGGGCGAGGAGGCACATGTGAGCGGGCACCTATTTCTAGGATGTCGACTTCCATTAAACTTGCTGGGGAACTTTGGCATTAAAAGCACTTGCGTGTGGGCTGCCCAGTAGAGCAGGGAGAGTGGGCGGGCAGTGCTGTGGACAGGGAGGCATCCAGCTCAAGTGGGGTGGGCTCATGCTGTCCCCAGCGGGCTTGTGGGGCACTGATGACAACAGTGCAGGTTAAGCACCCCTTCTCTGAAATGCTGGGGACCAGGAATATTTGCATATGCATAATGAGTGAGATAGCCTGGGGATGGGGCCTACATCTACACGTGAAATTTGTTTCATATATACCTCATTCACAGCCAGAGTGTGGAACTTTCCACTCATGGGACTCAAAAAGTTCCAGATTCTGAGTTTAGGAATGAGGGATGCCCAACCTATAGGAACAGGATGGCGATCAGTAGCAGTTCCAAGTCAGTGAGTGACTGCCCACTGCTGCCCTGCCAAGGGCCACAGGCCAGGCCACATTACCTCCACTAACCTGCTCGACAACCCCTGAGGTCAGAGCTGTCCTTCCCATTTCACAGACAAGGAGACAGGCTCAAACCCATAAAGCTGCTGGCCAAAAGTGGGCGTGGGAGCACCTGCCTGTATTCCAAGCTCCTCAGGTGGCTGAGCCTACCTGCTAACAGTGGACAAAATCAATACTCAGGACACAGGCCAATCGGACTGATAGCAAAGCCTGAGCCCACCCAGAGCCAACCCACTTCCTTCACAGGTGGCCCCAGCTGCCTGTCACCTAACCCAAAGGTAGAAGAGGCCACCAGCACCTGGCCTTTAGCTTCTCTCCTTTACCTTGATGGTAGGCGAGTGGGTGATGAAGTGGACAGGCACCCAGTCCAGCACATCCTGCGCCCTGGAGTTGCCAAACGAGGCCACAAAATCCGGGAAGCCCTGGCCCTTCAGCAGGTCCTTCACCTTCCGTGCTACAAGCCGGCACGGGATGGCAGGGCTCAGCCTTTGGGGTAGGAAGAGGGCCGAGTAACTGTCAGCAATTTTTTTTTTTTTCTGGTGATACTGGGGATTGAATTCAGGGAGTGCTGGCTACATCAGCAGCCCTTTATTTTTTGATTTTTGAGACAAAGCCTCCAGAAGTTGCCCAGGCTAGCCTTGAACTTATGATCCTTCTGCCCCAGCCTCCTGAGGAGCTGGGAATACAGGCAGGTGCTACCATGCCCGGCCCACCAGCAGTTTTTACAGCAATTTTTACTTGATGACACACATGCTTCCCCAGTTTCATTTTCTCTCTCTCCAGAAGGGGGATCATTTGATAGATGGTAAAGTGTCCCTTAATGTTGCTGAATCCTGGCCATAGAGGCAATCCAAAACAGTATTTCCCAAAGTGAGTTCCACAGAAGCTCTTTCTGTTTAAGAAGGAACCATATCCAAAAGTTGGGAAGACATTCCATGTCCTCTGTCCCTCCTGAAGCATAGTGGCATATTAAGGAAGAAATCATAGTTTTAGCTGTAATTTGGTGTTTCCCAAACATAATGTAGTAAGGCCCTACACCCAAAGGCATCTTATGGGAATGTATTCCATGCAGCCCCTCTAAGAATGCTCTAAGGAGATCAGAGCTAATAATACAAATGGTGAATACTGGTCTAACTAAACAATGTCAGAATTACTCTGGGGAGAAGTACAAAGTATATGGGCGGTGGGGTAAGGAGGATGAAGGGCAAAGAGCCAAGTCTTTGTCTTCCAGAGTGAAGACACAATTAAAAACTCCTAAAACCAGCTGGGTGTGGTGGTGCACATCTGTAATCCCACTCTGTAAGGCTGAGGCAGGAGGATCACACATCCAAGCTCAGCCTGGGCAACTTGGTGATTTAGAGACTCTGTCAATGATAAATGAATGAATGACAGATAGATAGATAGATAGATAGACAGACAGACAGACAGATAGATAGATAGAGATAGCAAGATAGCCAGCCAGCCAGCAGCCTGCCAGCCATGCCTGGGGATGTAGCTCAGTGTGAAAGCCCTGGGTTCGAATGCCAGTACCAAAAAAAAAAAAAATCAAGAAATACTATTATGTGCAGGTTATTTGAAGATCTAGGAGTAGGTTTTCAAAAACCAGCTACAGATGTTGAAAGTGGTTGCCTTTAGCAGGGAGCAAATGAGAGAGAGCTTCTGGCTATATAAAAAGCTGCAGGGCTCCTTGACATCTCATATTACATGCATATTTGATTTAAAAATTTAGGGGCTGGGGATTTAGCTCAGTGGCACCACACCTGCCTCAGAAGTGCAAGGTCATGAGTTCGATCCTCAGTACCAGAAAAAACAAAAAAAAGCCAGCACATTCAGGCTTCCTTTCACTGGTTTTCTTCTGCTATGTATATTAAATTCAGAAATACAGGAAGGACTTTCAGAGAAAATATTTTTGCCCTGGACTCAAGTGCTATGCAACCTTAAACATGAAACATACAGGTCCAGGGATTTAGCTCAGTGGTTCTGTCGCCTGCCTGGCAAGCACAAGGACCTGAGTTCAATCCTTGGTACAAAAAAAAAAAAAAAAGGAAACATACAAAGCTCTGCAATTTTTCCTCTGCCATGTTTGGCAAGAGAATGGCTATAATTGTTCTGCTACTATTCATTAATAGTAATAGACTCCACATGGCTTTCACAGGAGCTCAGCTGCTGAGGCAGAGGTTTGGTTACAGTGGGGAAGGGTGGGGATGCTGTGCTTTCTGATGGACACACACGTCCCCCAAAATGAGTCACCCCTCACCTGAGTTTGCAGCCAGCCTGCATATTGTAGCCGAACAGCACTGGGGTCCGGAGCCCCTCCGCAGCGAGGCAGTCTTGCTCAGTCGTGCTACGAAGAATAGTGAGTTGTCCGTATCTATTCGTGGTCTGAATTATCCCAGACATTCACTGAGAGTTAAGGGACAATTGCCCAGTGCCAGAGTAGCTTAATTCTCAGGTAAGAATGTGGTGTCACATGGTGTCCCTCGTGGGACCCAAGACCTGAGCAAGACCCAGATCCTCCTTCTCTAACCCTCTGGGATGTCGACAGTTACTTTCTAAGGGGATGGCGGGGGGGACCCCAACAACCACAAAAAAACCTCATTGTAACTGTTTTCCTTGGTAAGTCCATCCTCAGGAGAAAAATCCTCAGAAACTGGCCCTTCAAAATTCCAAATTTTTTAAATCATCAAGTTTGTTTTTAGGAGGCTCTGTTTAAATGTGAAACAGGATGCATCCAAATGTTGACTCCTCTGTCTTCAGATGTGTTTTAGAAGACTGGCATCTCCCCCTGCCATGCGGTGTCCCCTGATAACCCCCACCCTGGGTCACCAGGAGAAAGCTCCAGCCTGTCTGGCTCTCCCTCCCACGAGCAGCCCACAGAGCCCCGAGCGAGGCAGAGAAGTGCCCTCCATGAGGAAAGGATATCCCTTCTGAGGCTGCAGCCCGGCAGCCAGCGGGAGTCCCACCACATAGCCAGGGTTGCCACTGAGAGGAACAGGCCTTGTGTTTTGCTGAAAAACAATGCAGAAACGCCCCCCACCATAATGCTCATTTTTATAAGGAAATGGCAGGGAGAAAATGAAATGCTTTTCATAATAAAATCTGGAATTACCAACCAATAAAAGAACCTCTCCCCCTACTCAGAACTATAAATATATCTGCTGAGCGTGGGAGTACATCATGCTGTAAAAGAACAAGCAAACATGGCAGGGAACCTTGTTCCCAAAGGGAGAAAGATGCAGGCCGGGCTTGGTTGAGTTACAAACTCCAAGCCCGAATGAGCCCTCTGGTCAGTACAAAAGGTTAGCTGCAGTCATACTGCTAAATTGATTTTGTCTCATTAAGAAGTTATGATTCTTTTTTAACTTTGCAGTTAAAACCTGGACAAAAGTGCTCCAACTTACCTGAATAAAGTGAATTTCAAATGTCTGCTGCAGGGGGATCGATGCAGAGCTAACCGTCCCCAGAAGCAGTGAGAGGCCCGCTCTGGTGATCTCGCCCGAGTCTGTATACGTAAGGCTGTACTTCACCTGGAAGAAAATGAAACTCCAAATGCACCAGGTCCCCTTACATTTCAGCGGCTGCATTAATAATAAATAAAAGAGCCATAAACAGCAAGTCCCTTCCCATTTCTTGCAGGTTTTCTCCATCCAAGCAGATCTGAGCAGCATTCCCTCAGCATTACCCAGTGGATGGGGTCATCCCAGCCTCTCAGGGCCTAACATATGTCACTGGTCTAAACAAAAGGTGATTGGCCCCGCTCCACAGAGGAAACGAGAGTCCCAACAAATACAGCCATGACAAGACTGGGATGCAAGTTGCTAGGTTTGTGCAACAAGTAAATAAGCCTCCTCTGAGAAGATGGCATAAAGGCAAGCAGGAGGCCAGGCCAAGAGTGGCGGCACTGTAGGGCGGCCCAGGGCCCCCTTTGGAAGGCATCCCCTTACCCCATACCCCATAAGACGGGCGGCTAGATTCCACCACAGAAGGATGGAGCTTAAAAGGCCAAGCTGGGCCCCCACCTCAAGCACAACGTTAGTGCAGAACCTGTTGTGGCCAGAACCCACAAGAGACGGCACCCATACGCCAGCGTCTTCCGGGCGGGTCCGTGTTTGATTTAGAGACTGAACGGTGATGGACTGGACAGTGATCGGGACCTGCGAAGTAAATAAGACCTGTAGCATTAAAGGCTCTACCCTACAACAGAGGCGACGGGACTCAAGTAACAAAAGTGTGAGACAACCCCAGCCTTGCGCAGTGGGGGAGGCGAGCAATACACTACGAAACACAAAGACAGGGCCAGCTGGGGCGCGGTGAGAGCATGCACCTCACATGCACGAGGACTGGCTTCCAACCCCAGCACCAAAACACCCCACAAAAAGCAAAAGATATTTATTTTATTTATTTATTTATTTATTTTTGGTGCCGGGGATCAAACTTGGGTCCTTGCGCTTGCGCAGCAGGCGGCAAAACCACTGAGCTATATCCCTGGCCCAACAAAAGATATTTATATGTCAGTGCACATATACATTCACAAAGAAAATACTACAGAAGGTCATAACCAACTTTAAAAGTAGATACCTCTGGGCTGGGGATTATAGCTCAGTGGTTCCCCCACCTGCCTCGCAAGCGCAAGGACCCGAGTTCAATCCCTGGTACCAAAAAAAAAAAAAAAAAAAAAGTAGATACCTCTGAGAACATCTGTTAGCACAAAAACTTTCAAATGAATGTTCATGGCTGCCAGGTCCTAATAGCTAAAAACTGCAAACAACCCGAATGTCTATCACTTGATAGACAAATAAAATGTGGTCTATCCACACAAAGGAATATTATTCACCTGTAAAAATGAAGCACAATACATGCTGCCATGTAGATGAATCCTGAAAACATGCTAAGTGAAAAAAAGCCAGACACCAAAGGGTACACAGTGTGAGAAATGTCCACAGAGACAAAAAATCGTGGTTCCCAGGGGTGGGGGACAGCCTGGGAAAAATGAAGAGAGACAGGTAATGGGGTTTCCTCTTCAGTGATAAAAATATTCTGGAATTGGTGGTGATGGTTGCATGACCATGTGAATGTACTAAAAGCCACTACACTGTGGGATGAAAGTGGTTAAGTTTGAGGCTGGGGATATAGCTCAGTGGTACAGTGCATGTTTAGCATGTGAGGCCCCGGGTTCAATCTCTAGCACCAAAGAGAAAGCACAGAGGTTTCCACCACACATCTACATTCACGCCCTCAGCCCTAAACACAACTCCTACAGATAAATCCACACACGAGCACAGCGTGCAGCCCCAGTGTTCTCAGCCATGGCCCTCACAAGCCCCTGAACACAGCATGACTCAGTGAAACACTTCTCCACACAGCCTCACACACACACAAACTGGCTCTCTCTGGGTGGGGCTGTGGGCACCATGGAACAGATGGCAAACAGTTAAAGCAGAATCAGGAAGCCCTGGTGACCCTAATGCTATTAAAGGACACTTGTCATTTGTGGCCATCAGCAGCAGCAACAAAGCAACAAGCAATCTTCTAAAGATGCCTGGGCCGCCGGATGAGACCCAAATCTGTCACACATGCTCCACATTTCAATTGCGGAAGCCACCCTTTAGAAAGGACCTTGACGTATCCAGTTGTTTATATTGATTTGGACTCTGCCCTCAGCAATGTGCCAAGCTGTTTTTAATTTAAAATTGGTAAGGACTGGGGGAGTGATGGGCAAGGCAAGTGGATTCCAAGTTCAAAGCCAGCCTGGACAACTTAGTGAGACCCTGTCTCGAAATAAAAAGGGCTGGGGCTGCAGCTCAGTGGTAGAGCGTTTGCCAGTGTGTGAGGCGGGGCCCTGGGTTCCATCCCCAGCACAATATATGTAGGGAACAAGGAAAGGGCACGTTACTAGAACCTCTGCAGTGAGTCCTAGTCTCCTGTGAGCCACGGCAGCACAAGGTGAATTAACTTATTATACAGGAAAGGTAGAAAAAATGAGACTTTGAGAAGGAGCTGAGCTTTGAGTCTGATCAGCGCTGCTCTGGGCGGCAAAGACGAAAGCCCCCGAGCCTGCTGCACCTTTTACTCTGTACATCGGGGGAAACATGTAACAGATGACTCAGGACAGAGAGTTCAGTACATCGGGACAAACAAGGTGTAACAATCCAAGAACAAGGAGGAACTGAGTAGATGAAGATTTGGTTCCTCCCAGGATGTCTTCAGCTGGTGTAAGCTTGTCCTGAAGCATCACAGCATCACCGGATCATTGAGGTCTCAGTTGTGACCAGGGGCCAAAATGGAATTATGTCTCAAAATGCCATAGCTGGGTTGTAGGCAGGAGAACTAGGCCTAATCAAATGATTTTTCCCTAAAATTATGTAGCTTTGCTCCCAACAAATATATACTTATATGGATACATACATACACACACAGATGTGCAATTATTGAAGTTGTTTCTTTAGAGATAAATCAGCAGTCCTTATGTATCTGCTCTCATGACTGAGAAAACCTGCAACTGTCCTTCCAGGTCAAAACCTGTCACAGTAGAATGTGACGTGGCTCAGTAACAGAGTGAGCTGTTGTGTGACAAGAGTGGCAGAAAGACAAAGCCAATCACTGCTGTGCCCTCTGCCCAGCAAGCTGTACCAGTGGCTGAAGAAGCCTTCAGGGAGCCCTGTGCTGTGAGCTACCGCACTGCTCCTTCACCTGACTCAGGGAGACCCTGGGGTCCTGGACAGTGCCGTCCCAGCCCCAGCAGAGGCTCCAGTGGTGTGAACCTGGCTGGTGACTGCAGGCTGCAGTTCACACGAGCTCTGAAACACCTGTCACTTGGTGTCATTGATAGAGCTGCGATCGCCATCCACATCTTACTAGCAGGGTCACGGGCATGAGGCAGTGGGACTGGTCTGCTCTCTTCAATGTCTGTTCAGTCATAGCCACCCCAGCCCATCCACTGGGAAAGCAGCAAGCACATTTGGGGCAGAAAACACTTTCCTGGGCAGATCAGCAGCCAGGGACAGGAATTCAGGGAAATCACAGCAGGCTTCCAGCAGACAGGACCCAAGTCCATATTCCTGACCCACTGACAGTCCCTGCAAGTTTTGTCTTTTTTTCTTTTAAACCTTGCTATTAGTTTACATGCTTGTCCTTCAGGGCATAAGCTTTGGTGTCACACCATCCTGAGGTGAAGTCCCAGTTGGCCACATCCTGAGTGAGCAGCTGCAGGAAGCACAGGGGATGTGTGTGAAGCTGGTGACACGGAGCTGTCACGCTTGAGCTAGTCTAGCATTGTGGCAAAGTGCACAACCTCTGGGGCCAGGCTGCCCACATCTCCATGCCACCTCTGCTGCAAGCATATATGACTCGCCTGCCCACGAGTGACCATAACAGGACCTGCCTCCCTCCTAGGACTGGTGAGAGGGTCCCACACTTAGGACAGGATGGTGCCTGGCACCCACTCTGTACTCCTTGGCCATACAGTCATTGCTCGTGACAGGTCTCCCTACCCTGACGGAGCTGCCCTGTCAGCCACTCATCACGTAACCCATGACCCACATGTGGGGTGCTGCCCCAAACAGAGGCCTCATGGGCCAGGTAGAAGGGATGCTGCCCCAGACATACCAGTCTGGAGTGGCAGAATCAAAGCTCGTTCTAGTGGCTGGAGGGACCTAAGGGCCCTTCACATGGCTTTCAAACTGGGCTCCTCATAGGGATGGAGGAGGAAGTGAGAGGCTGGGCAGGCAAAGGCAGCAGCCTCGCTCTGGATCCCACTGTGCTGTTGAGGTTGTGCTGGAAAAAGGAGCCAGGAACTAAAGCAAGAGCCTCACAGGTAAGGAAATCCAGTCACCTGGCTCATCCCTCTCCAATATCTCCCTAAACCTACATGTGTGCAGAGACTTTAATGAAACAATGGCAGCCTGTGTCACCGCTGGGTGTTTCCTGCATGCTTCACCACCTGCCTGCACCAGGCTTCTGCAGATAGTCACCTTCTGTTCATTCACCCAGGGGCTGAGGTGCCGGGCAGATGAGAAAATAACAAAGCTGAAGTTGCCCCTAGCCTGTTCCACAGGCTTTGGGAGACCACAGCAAGGCCACTGCCTCAGGCCTCCTTGGGGACTGTGCACAGGGTGCAGACCTGGAATAAGGGGCAGAGGACCCATCCACAGACACCTGGGCCTCCTGCCCACAGCCCAAAGACTCCCGGCTGGGGCGAGAAGGCCTTGGGCAGAACCCACCCCAGCCACCCCTAAGGTGCACACCTCCCACCCAGGGCAATGCCAGGAGTCTCTGCTTTGCACAGAGCATCCTGGGAGGCACCGGCCCTCCTGACAAGAGACCAGGGTGGCAGCAGCCATGCTCACTGTCTGTCAGGTGGGCTCTGCCAAGGAAGGAGGAAAAAGTGTGCAAAAGCTGGGGTGCAGCTCAGCAGTAGAGCACTTCCCCAGCATGTGCAAGGGCCTGGCTTCCATCCCCATCCCCAGCACCTCAAACAAAAGGGAAGAAAATGAGAAATCCTAAAAATCTGAAGTGTGATTCCAAAAAGGTCATCTATAAGGAGTTTCCTATTTCATACTTCTGCTCACTGTACCCCATTATTATAAATGTACCCGTCTCAAAGGGCTCAGTGGATTATAAACTCTTACATTCCATTAAGAAATACTCGGTTGGGCCAGGGATTTAGCTCAGTGGTTCTGCTGCCTGCCTCACAAGTGCAAAATCCCGAGTTTGAGCCCCGGTACCAAGAAAAACCAAAAAACAACTCTTACCTGTGTTGTTGAACTGGGCACCTAGATAAAAAGAAACCACAGCAAATTTTGTTAAGTACAACAAAGAGAAGCATTTTCATAGCTCTTTCAGACCTTGGCCAAAGGCTATACTCATTCTTAAAGATTTCACAAGGAGAACACCACAACTGCCTTAATCAAGGCCTGCCATCTGCATGTCTGCATCTGGGCCACTGTCACTGCAGTTTCCTTCTCTTTTCACTTCCTTCTGGTTGGAAGCACAACAGGCCAGCTCAGCCAGCTGGTGTCATGAAGCCTCTGCACCCTGGTGTCATTACTGCACATTGCCACATGGCCATGGCTGCCATACCGTGTGGGAAAGGGAGATGCAGCCCCCACCCTCCTGGTCACTCTCTTGGCACCTGTCTTCACAGGAGGGACACCATCCCTGGCCCAGGAGCTTCCCATGGGCTCTTCCCGTTTTCCTGCCAAGTGCCACGCTTTTGTCTCCAAGCACAGCCAAACTCTCCTGAAGGATCGATCTCCCTCCTCTTCCTGTCCTTCATTTCTTGCAACCTCATCCCCAGACACCCTTGAGCCATTGTGAGCCATTGTGAGAGGGGGTGAACAGTCATGTTTAGGGAGGTCTGTGCTGAGAACTTACCCAGATGCTTGAGATGCTGTGAGAAGCCAAAGTAACTGGAAGAACTCAGGCCCAGAGGGCTGACTTACAAGAAGAGAGGGAGAGAGGAGAAGGGAGGGAGAGGAAAAGCTGAAACTTCATTCTGAACACAGGAGCCCAGATGCAGATGGGGCCATGGACTGCCTACCCCTACACACCACACACACACCCCAAAAAAGAAATCAGAGCCAGGTGCAGTGGCACAGGCCTAAAATCCCAGTTACTCAGGGTGATCACAAATTTGAGGCCAGCCTAGGCAATTTAGAGAGATATTGTTCCAAAAAAGAGGCGTAGGATATAGCTCAGTGACACACTGCTTGCCTAGCATGCATGAGGCCCTGGGTTCAATCCCCAAGACCCCACACACATATACCAAAAGAAATAGGGGGAGGAGGACTTTGGACAATAATCTTGTTTTGTTTTCTTGAGACAGGGTTTCACTATGTAGCCCAGGCTAGCCTTGAACTTGCCGCCAGTCTCCTGCCTCAGCCTCTTACATGCTGAGA